TTCTCACGAATCCCGCTTGAGAGGGGGATACGTGGCTGAAGTCGCTGCAGCGCCCTGCTCCCACAAGTCTACCCAGTCCCAGAATGTCCTCCGCTGGAGTCTCCCAAACCGTGGGAAGAGTGTCAGTTTCTCTTACTCACCTCACCGCAAGTCAATGCACAGCTCCCCACCCGTCCTGTTTTCAACTCCGTTCGCCGATTCCCGTTCTCAGAGCTTCCACGTCTCTCTCCCTGCCGAGCCGATGTAGACGCAGCCACCACGTGGCGGGAAACCCAAATCATGGCTTCCAATGCCATGGGCTCCAGCTTCCACACTGAGGCTTTTCTGTTCCTGTTATAGCACCAGGATTGCACTCCAAGTTGGTTTCTCTCAGCCCAATTCGTTCTTGGGTCAGCAGGGCATATCTCCACCTGCTCACGACTCCTTACTCCACACCATTCCTGAATTCCAAGCTGATTCTCTCAGAGAGCCTCCATAGCTGCTGCTATCTGTCCACCATGTTCTCTCGGAAGTCCGGCCATTAGTTTTCAATCCACCACAATTCATGACTTCCAGTTCACCAAATCTGATGTGCTCTTTTCAGTCTTCATCTTCACTGACAACAGTTACTCTTTCACAACTCTCTTGTTCCCTCCCTTGGCTTCTGTGAATTCACTGTCTCAACTCTTCTGCTTCTATTACTCTTCATTCTCTTCATCTGTTGCTGCCTTCTCTGTGTCTCACTTTTCTTTCTGGACTGGAGACTGAAGCAAGGCATCTTGCACTGAGCCAAATCCACATAATTCTTTTTTTATTTTTTATTTTGAGACAGGATCTTGCTAAGTCACTAAGACCTTAAGCCCCTGGACCTGTTGTTCTGATGTCCACAGATGAGAGAAGAAATGTGTGCCAGCTACAGAAATAATTTCTCTCTGCACTTTGTGTCTATCTGGGGCCCTGCTGGTTGGATGTCACCCACTCAGAGAGTAAATCCTCCCCACTCAGTCTACCAACTCATATACTAGTGTTTTCTAGAAACTTCTTCACAGATACACCCAGAAATATTATCTGTTCTCTCACATATGTTCATTAACTATTTGTAGAATAAATCAATGAATTAAAGAACAGAATAAACTGTGCCTATCCAGAATAGATCATGCCGCTCGGTGCTAAAAACATCCAAAATAACAATAATAAAACTGAACTGAAAGAAAAGTCCATCAAATATGTCTTCAAGAAACTTGAGGAGAAAAACTTGGTTCTGTAAGATACACTCCCAAAAAGCTGCAGAATGGTGTAGCCAGATAGTGTAAGGCTTAAAAGAAGAGAGTTTTATTCTTATATGAATGAAATCACAAAGGAAAGAAAAGAATGGCAATATTGCCTCCCAGTGGCTTTTCAAATAAAAACCTCTATGCTGGAACACAAGTGAGGAATAGAATATTTACCTAGCAGTTGCAAGGTTGTGGGTTCCATACCTAGTACCACAAAGGAAAAAAAAAGCAAGCTTATAGTTTATATAGAATATTACTTCAGGGATTTAGCACACAGACTCTGTAGGTTGTTGGATTCTTCAATTAAACTCTCTCCCACAGACTAGCTGAGAGATCTTGAACAAATTGCTCAATTCTTGACTATTTCCCTATCTGTAAAATAGAAAGTGATCTTTGTACCTAACATATAGAGTTCTTATGAAGAATAAAATTAAAACAGCAAAAAAATTAAAATAGTAACTGATGCCAGGATAAACTAAATAAATTTAGCTATTATTATTCCCTTTTTCCTGATAAGACAATTAATGGTAAGGCAAACTTTGTCCATTCCAGCTGGTGTAAGTAAAGACCCTGAGTAAAATGGTCTAAAAACAACCAAAAAACTATTTCTCTGAGTTCTGGAGCCTGGGAGTACAAGAAAACTGTTCTGGCAGGTTCGGTGTCTGGAGGGATTGCTTTCTAGTTCCTAGATGATCATTCCTAGCTGTGTTCTCACATGATGGAAGAAGGCAGCTCTCTGGGGCCTCATGTGGGCTCTTTCCCTGTTCATGAGAACAGAGACTTCATGACTGGTTGAAGTCTTGACTCCCCCATACTATCACATGGTGATTAGGTTTCAATGCAGAAATTCTAGAGAGGAACAAACATTCAGCAACCATAGTGTAGAAAGGAAACCAAAGTAAAACCTCCATAAACTCTCTCTTTTTTGTGTGTTTAGTAACTTGCCTTTATCACCAATTTTGGAAGTCACATAATACCTGAGACACGTTGTTCATGGGGTAATGACTGACTTACTTATTTTTCAGGAACCTGGAGACCACTTTTGTCTATCTCAAAGTAGCTAAAATCACCAACTCCTTACCCTGGCCTGCACACTAAAAACTACTCTCAGAGCATGCTAAGGGCACCACTTTCTCAATTGCAACCTATAAACCATTAAGTTTGATTACACAGGGATAAACTACAATTACTTTCTCTCCTTCCAATCACCTTTCCACAGGCCTCAATTTATCTCTCTGTCTTTCTTTCTTTTTTTTCTTTTTCTTTCTTTTGTTTTGTTTTATGGTTCTGAAGATTAAACTCAAAGCCTTCATATTGAGCTATATCCCCAGCTCTTTCTTAAGTTCTATTTTGAGATAGAGTCTCATTAAATTGTCAGGTTGCCCAGGCTGGACTCCAACTCCTGATCCTCTTATCTCAATCTCCCAAAGTGCTGAGATTACAAACATATGCCACTGAATTGACTTTCTGGTTTTTATTTTGTTTTGTTTTTGGTTTGTTTGCTGTTGTTGTTGTTGCTGCTGTTGTTTTTGTTTGAAGCAGAATCTCACTATGTATCTCAGGCTGGCATCAAACTCATGGTAATCCCTCTGCCTCGGGGACCCAAGGGCTGGGATTATCAGTGTATGCCACCACGCCTGGCTTTTTGGTGGAATTTTTGTTTTTATATTTAGTTTTTTTATTTCTTTTAAGCGGAGTCTCACTATGTTAACCCAAACTACACCAAAGTAACCATCCTCCTGCCTTAGCCTCCCAAGTGCTGGGATTACAGGCATGCACTATCACATCTGGCCAGAAAATGGTTTCTTAATTCCATCAATACCTTTAAACAGTATCTCCCTCAGCAAAATGGATTTGCAATAGGGCTCCCATCTCCTCCTGTGTGTCAGCCTTGTAAATATTGGAAATAAGCCTCTAGACTCAATTTTTTTGGTGTGCATAATAAAGTATTCAGACACCAAGAAATCTTGACAAGGATTTTACTTTTGCAAAATGACACAAGCAAGCCCCAGCAATGAGGTAGCAGGTATACAAAACAAAGGAATGTTGCACCTTTTATCCCTAATGCAGGTGAAGCAGCTGACTTTATCCCCATTGGTCGGATTGAAGGTTTACAGTCTATCCTGATTAGCTAGTTTAAATAGTTAAAGGAAGAGAAGAGTGGGGGTATGGGGCACTGAAAGTCCTTGGTTGTTGATAAATTATCTTTACCTGTAAACTATGCTCCCCAAGTCTAAACTGAGCAGGCATTTCTTATAATTTGGTATGTTCAGGAGGGGCTGCTTAGGATGGACAACAGTTCAAAATGGAGGCGTTCTTGTTTGATAGAAAAGACAGAGCTGTTGTTTCTCAAATAAATACTCCTTTGCAAAATTCTTGCTTTAGCAATTGGCATACTATCTGTAATTGCCTTTGCTTTCTCTCCTTATGTCTTAGCTCCTTAAAGTCCTGCCCTTCTTAGCAACTGAAACTGGAAGAACTAAAGAAGTCAATTACTAAAGGCAGCAACAAGGAAACTAAGAAACCTCCACTGGGGAGAAGGATGCCTGTAATCCCAGTATTCTGGAAGGCTGAGGCAGGAGGATCCCCAATTTGAGCCCAGTCCGGGCAATCTAGCTATTTGGTAATTTTCTGCCTCAAAATAAAAAACAAAGGCGTGGGGAGTTAGTCCGTGCTAAGACCCTAGATTCAGCCCTGTGTACTGCCACAAAAAAGAAAGAAAGAAAAAGAAGAAAAGGGGCCAGGGATTTAGCTCACGGGCAAAAGCACCTGCCTGACAAGCCAAGATCATGAGTTCGATCTCGGGTACCCAAAGTAAAAGAGAGGGAAGGAGAGAGAGAGGAAGGGAGAAGGGAAAGGGAGAGAGAGAGGGAGAGGGAGAAAGAGAGATAAGTGGGCAACTCTGCAAAGCAAAGCTATTACTCTACTGGAATGAAAATCGTGCCAGCAATAGAATTCGCTGTACCCACAACAGAATGATGCATAGAGGTTGGGAGAACCAAATAAATTTTATGGAGGATCTCGGGAAATTTTCAAATAACTGTCTTTTCTACAGCCCATTTTTTAATCATTTAACCCAGAAAATTGGGAAGACTGTGAGCATTTTCCCAAATTAGGCTAATAGGAGTTTACTAGAGACTTCTCTAACCAGCGATTGAAAACAGGGCCTTCCTACTGGCTACATCCCCAACTTTCGTTTTGTTTTATTCTGTTTTGGTTTGGTTTTTGAGACAGAGTCCCACAGTGTAGTTCAGGCTGGGCTTGAACTCTCATCAATTCTCCTGCCTCAGTCTCCAGAGTGCTGGTTTTACAGACATGCAACACCAAACCTGCCCTTGTTATTTACACAGTCTCGATGAGTTGACAAGGCTGGGCTCGAATTTGTGATCTTTCTGCCTCGGAGTCTTGAGGGCTAGGATTACAGGCATGTGTCACCACCTCTTTTAAAAGATTATAGAAGGTTTGCGGGTTTTTTGCTTTGTTTCGTTTCATTTTGTTCTGAGAATATTCATAGAATTTGCACAGGACATTTTTTAAAATATATTTTGGTAACCTAAATCAGTTCTTCTTAGGGAACCTGTTTCTAAAGTGGACATAGCCACTCACACCCGGAAGCTGAGGGTGCACCTCAAGTTGTCCTGACAGGTGGGCGGAGACCGGCCACTGTAACGGGCTGCGAGAACTACAATTCCCATGAGCCTCAGCAGATGCCGGGCCGCGACCTCACCGCGCCTGCTTACTGGTGGAACGTCAGACTGCGCGGTTCCCGCCAATTCATGCAGTATTACTGACTGAGAGTTCGCAGCGCCATGGAGTCGTTTGATCCAGCCGAGCTCCCCGAGCTGCTCAAGCTTTATTACCGGAGGCTCTTCCCCTATCCCCAGTACTATCGCTGGCTCAACTATGGCGGAGGTAATGGAGGCTGGGAGCGGGATGAGTACTGGGTCGGGAACCCAATAAGGACACTCGGACCGGACGTACTTAAGATTGACAATATGAAATGCCTCAGTGCCCTGTTTTGTTGGTGGTGCTGGGATACAGTGTCAGGGTCTATCACTCTACTACTGGACTACATCCCCAACCGTTTGTGCTGTTTTATTTTTGACACAGTGTCTCACTAAATTTAGGCTGAGCTCGAATTTAGGGTGCTCCTGACTCAGCCTCCGGAGTACCGGGAATGACAGGCGTGTACCACTGCACTCAGCATTTCCTGTACAGTACTGCTATCTACCCTGCCCACCACCTCACAGGTGTAAAAGGCTCAGCGTGAATCTAGTGAGCAGTTTAGTACGCCCAGACTTTCAGAGATTAACTAGGACCAGGCATAATAAAGTTTCAGAGGGTTCATCTGCATCAGCGTCCAAGGAGCATACTTTCTTCTTCACAACTGAATCGGTTAGTGCCTACCAAGGAGAGAGAAGAGGCATTGTATATTTATAATTATTTATTTTTCTCCTCATGTTTACTTTTTCCTAGCAAGTGTGGAATGGTAAACTTAGTATTAAGGATTAGGTCCTATCTTTTCACACCTAGAACAATGTTGGGCACGAGGGCTCAAGCAGCATAAGCACCTGCCTTGCAAGCAGGCGGTCGTGAGCTCGATCCCTGGTACCGATAAAAAGGAAAAAGACAAAAAAAAAAAAAAATCTTCCCATTGGTTAATGTTATAATTCCCTAAGCTGAATAAAGTACCTTATTCTAAAATGCATACTTACTTTGCAGTGGTAAAGAATTATTTTCAAAACCGCGAATTTTCGTTCACATTGAAAGATGATATTTACATTCGCTATCAATCATTCAACAATCAGAGTGATCTGGAAAAGGAAATGCAGAAAATGAATCCATACAAGATTGATATTGGCGCAGTGTATTCCCACAGAGTAAGAAATGTTTTTTGTGTTTATTTTGTTGTTTTATTTTATAAATCAAGACTAGATTAGTGCCACTAGAGTTTTGAAATTAAAATTTTATTTGAATTTATTGTAGTTGAAAATCCACATTTTTAAACATGTTTGTTGTAATCATTTTTGTTCCTTGACACAATACTGACTGGAAATCATTTGGAAGTAAATTGGTTGCAATCTCAGTAGTATTAAAAAAAAAAGTAAAGCTGGGCATGGTGGCAGAGGCCTGTAATCAAGAGGCTGAAGCAAAAGGATCACAACGAGTTGGAGGCCAGTGTGGGCTACATAGTGAGTACAAGACCAACCTGCACTATGTTGCAAGACTTTGTCTCCAAAAAGCCAAAAAAAAAAAAAAAAAAGAAAGAAAGAAAGAAACAGTATCTGGCTAAAAGAGTAAATGAGAGCCTCAACAAAGTTTAAGAGAGGAAAATAAGAGAATTACATTTGATCTCAGTATTGGAGTTATTTTTTATTCCAGTTTCTTAACACTCCCATACTGGTTCCATTAGGAAACCCCCTTTGACAGTATCGTAATGCATAAAATCCAGCTATTACCACTGCTACCACCACCATCTTTCATCTGAATTACTGAAAAAAAACCAACAGTTTGCACTGTAAACTGGAGTCCGTTCTCAACACAGCTGCCAAAGGGATCCTTTTGAAGCAACTCATTCTGTTTCCTCTGCTCACTCTATGAGGATTAATTCTATAGTATGTTATTAGAGAAGTTTCTCTGATAGTGTAGAGTACTCTAATGGCTCCCCCATCACTCATCCTCAAAATTCTTTTCTTCTCTTCACTCACTGTGCTCATGTCACACTGTACATTGTGCAGGCTGTTTCTACAGCCTAAAATTCATTTCCCTGGGCATCTACCGGCTTTTCCTCACTTCTTTCCACTCTTTTCTCAAGTAGCACTGGGAGGGCCTGCCACTCCTCCCATTCCTGCCCACCCCCATCTATCCTGAGTGCTTAGAAGACCCCTGCAAGAGAAAGTATACCATAAATAATTATTATGTGTTGAATGAATGACAAACCAAAATTACCTTTCCTACCCTCCTTAAAATTAAACACTGGGAAATGGAGTATAATATAGATAGGGGGTAATGGTTTGTGAATGGAGTTTTCATATTATATATAACTTGTTTCTCCTATCAAGCCTCATTATTATGAAGAAGAAAATAGGCCTGGAGAATTTAGTTGCCCAAAATTACACAATTTCTAAATGCATGTAGGACTTGGTTCCAGTTTTTTTACTCTAAACCCCAGGCTTCCCTACTGTCATTAGGGTCAGGAGAGAAGTAAGAAAACACAGGTAAGCCAGGGGTATACCTCAGTGGCACAAGCACCTACCTGGCAAGTGTGAAATCATGAGTTCGATCCCTGGTACCAAAAGAAAGAAAGAAAGAAAACACAGGTAAGAGAAATGGTTTGAAATTTATTCCCCTTTAGAGGTTAGAATGAAACTGCAGAAAGACCAGAGTACCACTTTATTTTCTTTCCCTAACACTGAGAGAAGAAAAAAAGCCCAAGTCTCTGTGTTTATATATGTGTGTGTATGTGTATGTGTCCTTGTATCTGTGTTCCATGTATCTGTTGCTGGGATTTAAACCCAGGGCATGAGTACGGAGCTATGCTCTCAGACCGTTTTTTATTTTGAGACAGGATCTCACTAAATTGCCCAGACTGGACTCAAACTTGCAATTCTCCTGCCTTGATTTACCAGAATACTGGGATTACAGGCATATAGCACCACACTCAGCTATTTTTTTTTTGTTGTTGTTGTTGTTCTTAATTGGGTCAAGACAGTCATCTGTGAACTTTTTTCTTTTTTGTATTTTCTTTGTGGTTTTTGTCAGTTATGTATATACATGGAGTTTATGAAAATCAAATAGTTCTCTTAGGGTAAAAATGTTCTACCTTTTCAACCATTTATTGCTGCCTAGAAGCAGCCTATTTCTTTTAGCTGATTCATATGGCATTTACCTCCTTGTCTCTAAGTAAGAGGCTTATTTTTCTTTCATTTTTCCATTTTAATGTCTACTGATATTCCTCTCTGGCAGATGAGGATTAACCTCTCCGCACAAGTATAGCCTCTGTGTCCCTACATACTCTTAATACAATTTTTGTCAGATTAAAAATTAGAGTTAGGGGCTGGGGATTTAGCTCAGCGGCATAAGTGCTTACCTTGCAAGCGCACAATCATGAGTTCAATCCCTGGTACCAAATAAATAAAAATTAGAGTTGGAGGCTATGTACTGTTTTAAATAGGTAAAAATTAAAACTATCATCAGTTCTGAATGTGTGGATTCCAAAGTAATGACCTTTAATTAATATAGACCTGTCATGATAGTTTGTTTTTCTTTGGTCACTTTTTCTATGTGAGTAGAAAGTAGACAGACTTAACAACATAGCAACTCTTATAGAAATTAATCGATATTTTATATTCATAGCCCAATCAACACAATGCTGTGAAGCTGGGAGCCTTCCAGGCTCAAGAGAAAGAACTGGTGTTTGACATTGACATGACAGACTATGATGATGTGAGAAGATGCTGTAGGTAAGGACATACAGCTTGCTGTTAGGGTGCAAGGTATCAGTGACAGTGAATAATGATGACTCTGTTCCAGCTCTGCAGACATATGCTCCAAGTGCTGGACCCTCGTGACAATGGCCATACACATCATTGACCGAGCACTGAAAGGCAAGTATCAATAATGTCTGAGTGAGGGCAAATGCAAGAATCTCTTCTCTGAATATTAGTTTCTGTATTTTTTAATCACATTTCATAAACTTCTAATATGTCTCCTTGAAACATCTGAGAGGAAAATAAAACATAAGAATGAAGTGGTACTCAGTGTGCCACATGTGCCTGTAATTCCAGCAATCTGGGAGTTGAAGCAGGAAAATCACAAATTGGGAGTCTAGGTGGGCAGCTTAGTAATTTAGTGAAACCTTGTCACAAAATAAAAATTTACAAAGGGTTGGAAATGTAACTCAGTTCAAAGTCTCTGAGTTCAATCCCCTTTAAATCCAAACCAAAAAAAAAAAAAAAAAAAATTAAAATTGTAGTGGAAACTTTAATATAACTGTTCAACAAACCATTGTGTTTTTTCCCAATTTAGACTTCTGTTGATCTAAATGAATGAGGTATAAAAAGATAACAATTCTTAGCTCAGATAAGTTACACAGTCTAAGGAAACATTTAAAATTTGAAGATCACATTTATGTTAAATAACACACTCAGGGACCTATATGATTGTAGGACACCAGAAATGCATATAAGAATGTACACAACCAGGTGTGGTAGTACTCATCTGTAATTCCAGTACTTTTAAGAGGAGACTAGCTGGGGATTTATTTAGTTCAGCGGCATAAGCGCCTGCCTGGCAAGTGCAAGGTCATGAGTTCGATTCCCAGTACCAATAAATAAATAAATAAATAAAAATTGCTATGTATGCAAGTTTTTTTTATTTTTTTCTTTCTTTTTTTTTTTTTTTTAATCGGTACCAGGGATCAAACTCATGATAACTAACTCTTATATAGAGTATTTGTTATGTGCCTGGCACTGTTCTACATACTTTAAACATTAATTCTTAATATCCCTAAGGTATTTTTAAGAACAAATGACCAGGCCAAGGATATAGCTCAGCATCATAGCACCTGCCTGGCAAGCATGAGGTCATGAGTTCAGTCCTCAGTATCAGGAAAAAAAAAAAGTGATCAATGATCAAGGACAAATGAAAGTGCTGGACATAAAGACATTCTTAGCAGGAAGACCAGAATGAAGTCATGAGGGCAAAAACATGAAAAACAACAGTAAATAGGTAATTTAGTACAGTTTACATGAAAGTGTACATGAACAGATTTTTAAAAATGATGCTAAGAAAAGTAAACAAAAATAGAAGTTTATACATTTTCTTTTTTCTCCCCTCTACAGAGGACTTTGGGTTTAAGCATCGTCTCTGGGTATATTCTGGAAGGAGAGGTGTTCATTGTTGGGTCTGTGATGAATCAGTTAGAAAATTGTCCTCTGCAGTACGTTCTGGGATAGTTGAATATTTGAGCCTTGTAAAGGTAAGGGTCTCTTAATTATGATTTACATTTTCTTTATTTACTACCAACCCTGGTATCCTTAGTAACAAAAATTTAAGTTGTCTTGCTGGAAGCAATGATGCATACCTGTAATCCCAGCTACTTGGGAAGCTAAGGAAGGAAAATCACAAATTTAAGACCAGCCTGGGCAACATAGTAAGACCTATCTCAAAATAATACAAAAGCCAGGGATTTAGCTCAGCAGCATATGCATCTGCCTGAAAAGCACAAGGTCATGAGTTGATCCCCAGTACCAAAATAATACAGAAGTCAGACATGGTGGCCCATGCCTGAATTCCAGCTACTTAGGAGGCTGAACCAGAAGGATCACCATTCCAGGGCAGCCTGGACAATTTAGTAATATTCTGTTGCAATAAAATTAAAAAGGAGTAGGGATGTGACTGGGTGGTACAGTACCACCAAAAAAAGAAGTAAGCTATCACTATACCATTCACATTCCAGAGTAGATAATCTTACCAGTAATCATTTAAAATCATAATAGCAACCCAGACATGGTAGAACATGGCTATAGTCCCAGCATTCAGAACCCTGAAGCAGGAGAATTGATCCGGCCTACAGATCAATCCGTGGGGTGTACCTGGAGGAGGAACGGGGATTAAATAAAGACATAGGGGAGACAAAGAGAGACTGAGGCAAGTTGAGAGAGTCCAATCAAGCCCCCATTTATTCCAGAAGTGATTACATCTTTTATAGGGAAAGGGCGGGCTGGTGGGACAGGAAGAGGCTATGGGGATGAATACAACAGGGTCATTGTCATGTCCGGGTATGTGACGTAAGCAGGAGAAGATTATGGTTAATGTAGGCAGATGCATTGTGCCCATAGGAGAGAGAGAGAGGCAGTGAGGCAGCAATGGGTCTTTCTGGCGGCTCCTTACAAAGAATCACTTGAGCCCATGAATTTGAGAACAACCTGAGCAACACAGCAAGACCTCATCTAAGAAAATAATGGAGTAATTTTTTAAAATAATGCATTGTTTAAGATATTTTGAGGCAAATGGATCACAAGTTCAAGGCCAGCCCAGGCTATATAGCAAATTTGAGGCTAGCCTGAACTACACAGCAAGACCCTGTCTTAAAAAAAAAAAAAAAAAAAAAATTGTATTAATAAAGATTAATTTAGGGGCTGGGGATTTAGCTCAGTGGCATAAGTACCTGCCTTGCAAGCAGGCAGTCGTGAGTTCAATCCCCGGTACCAATAAAAATGAAAAAAAGACCAAAAATAAATAAATAAATAAAGATTAATTTGTCTAGAAGTTATATAATTCTAAATGTAATAATTATACACACCTCAAAGAAAATATTAAATTATTCTATTATATATATGTAAATTCTTTTTGTTGTTTTGTTTTAAAACAAAAAATAAAAATGATACAGAATTTCCAAACAAAATAATAGGACATTTACAATGGTTAATATATTGCATATTATTATCTTCAAAGTAGTTGTTTAGAAGATATAGGCATGAAAAAAATGATCAAACAATAAACATAAGTTCTTTTTTAATGTTTTACTTTTTAGGGTGGCCAGGACGTTAAAAAGAAAGTTCACCTAAGTGAAAAAATTCACCCTTTTGTCAGGTCTGTTGGAAAAGACTGCAATTAAGTCGTGTCTAATATGCTTACGTGTGCTTTCAGAATTGTCTTACTATCAATTTTCACAGCTGGGTAGCATTTTATAATAATAGCTACAGTTAGCTGAGTGCATAATTATGCTGCAGTATCCTGTTGGCTTCTACAGTTGTTCATTTTGGCCTTCACAACAGCTTCATGAGAGACATGACAATACTCCATTTACAAATGAGGAAAGTGAGTTTTAGAGAGATTATATCATTTGCTTGGTATCACACAGTTGTTACATTTAGCATTCTTGAGCTTAACCCCAAGCCTATGCTTTTTCTGTTGAATTCAGTACTTCTCTAGGATAATGGGAAAAGCATTCCATTAGAAAAGGCCCTATTCTGTTATATACTATGAACCTGATGAAGTATTTAAGCCTCCATTTCCTTATCTTTATGATGAATAGATCATCTGCTGTACCCATCTCACAGTTATGGCAGAAATTAAAGGGCATAGTAGATATTAAGTGTATTTGCAAAGTACAAGCACTACACATTTGAAATGTTAAAGCAAGCAATTCAGAGAAGACTAGACTAACCCACATTCTAATTCTAGTACTAATATGCTGCAGTGGATTACTTACTTTCTATGCTGTTACACTTTTATGATGCTACTAACCTTGATTATAGAGTTTAAGATGTAAACATTTCTTGAAAAAAAATAATAAAAAAGAAGTAAAGATTTTTTGAATATCCTGTGCCAGCTACTACACTAGTATCTTTCCCCTTTTAAGTGTCTTATTTAACTCATAGCCTAGCAAAGGGATATTATTCCCATCTTACACAGTTCTAGAAATTGAGAGAAAATAAGCAGTAGCCTCACACTCGAGTACAACAATAACTAAAGTTATATATGTTGTTTATAGTATCAGGACTTTGTTATTGTTATTCCTACAGAAGATCTATACACATAATTAAAAAATACTTTGAAGAATATGCATTGGTTGATCAAGACATTCTTGAAAATAAAGAAAGCTGGGATAAGATTTTAGCTCTTGTTCCTGGGAATATCCTTTTCTGAAACCATTCCCACATGAGCAAGTTATATTGATTTATAATATTACAAATGCGCTTATGTGTAAATTTAATCTTTTTATACAAAATCTCTTGGTTTGTCTTTGTTTTTGAAATAGGGTCTTGCTATGTATTCTAGGCTAGCCTCAAACTCACAGCAATCCTGCCTTGGGCTCCCGAGTGCTGGGATTATGGGCACATGCCACTGTGCCTAAATACAAACTATCTCTTGTATTTCTACATTTTTGTATCTCTAATCTGGAATGCCATAAGAAATGTGGCTTGGCACCATTGCACATGTCTGTAATTCTGGCATTCAGAAGGCTAAAACAAGATTGCCACAAGTTGGAGGCCAGCCTGAAATACATAGTGAGATCCTGTCACAAAACAAAAATAACTTCTTTCTAAATGTGTAAGTTTTTCCAGGTGTGGCACATGTCTGTAATCCTAGCACTCAGGACGCCAAGGCAGGAGGATCTCATGAGTTCAAGGCCAGACTGGGCTACGTGTTTGGTTCAGAGTCAACCTGAACTGCATAACAAGACCCTGTCTCAAAAAACAAAGCAAAACAAACAACAATATATATGTGTATATATTTTTATATATGAAAGTTTTGTATATCTTTGTGGTAATACATACTAAAAACTCAGTAGTTTGCTGATATGCCCTAAATGAATGTGTTCCTTAATGTCACATCACCAATTCATGAAGAACTTCAGACATGCTTCCAGAAGTCTCACAATTCAGTTCAGCGTTGGGAGCATCTGAAAAGAGTAATCAACACATGTCAGGTATATTCCATTGAAATCTGTATTTTCAAATATGCTAATGTATTTCTTAATTGAGTGCTGATTGTTTTGTTTGATTAGTTAAAGATGGTTGAAGATCATTTTTTAACCTTCTTTAAAGAAATACTCAGAATTTCCCTTTCAAATACTCCCTATTTGTCCAGACTAACTAGCCATCTCTCTCCCTCTTTCTCTTTCTGCTTCCCTACCTTCAAGTAAATCATCTGGTTTATTTAATTTTTATTAATGAAAATCTTAAAAATTAAGAAATACTCAAAAGTTCCTACTGATTTTCATACTGGCCTTGCATCTTCTAGAATATCAAAAATGACAAATGTGGACCCTGGCTGGAGTGGGAAATTATGCTGCAGTACTGTTTTCCACGGCTGGATATCAATGTTAGTAAAGGAATCAATCATTTACTGAAGAGCCCTTTTAGTGTTCATCCTAAAACAGGTACAATGTAAAGAAAGTAAGGAAAACTAAATTTATTTTTTTTGTTTTGTTTTGTTTTAGCAAGCATATCATAAAGGTATGAACATATATCTGGTTTTTTTTGTTTTTTTTGGACCAGGGATCGAACTCATGACCTTGCACTAGCAGGCAGGTGCTTATGCCACTGAACTAAATCCCCAGCCCCTGAACATATATCTGTGATATTAAAGACTGAAGATTTCTTTTCTAGCTAGTACCTAACTTATCTTTTATGTTAAAGTTTCTATGTAATTCTTTTTTTCAGTAAATGTTTAAGAGGTATGAAGTTTAAATTAGAATTGATAAGAAACTAAGCCTGGCATGAGGGGCACACACCTATAATCCCGGCACTTGGGAGGCTGAGACAGGAAGATCACTGTGAGTTTAAGACCAACCTGCTCTAGATAGTGAGGACCCTGCCTCAAAAAACAGAATAAAACAAAGAATTGGTAAGAATGTAGAAATCACAGGATAGAAACTTGCATTGCACAGATAAAAAAACAGTAACCCGGGGGCTGGAGGTTTAGCTCAGCGGCATAAGCGCCTGCCTTGCAAGCAGGCAGTCGTGAGTTCAATCCCCGGTACCGATAAAAAGGAAAAAGACAAAAAAAAAAAAAAAAAAAAAAAAAAAACAGTAACCCAGGATGTGAAAGTGACTTGTTCAAAGTCATAAAACAAGTTGTGTTGGTGCTGGGACAGAATTCAGTTCTCTCTTCCTTCCCCATCCCAGTTTCACTAGTATTAGGGATTGAATAAAAAATAAAAAAGGGGCAGGGCAAACCAGGGGCAGGGTGTTGCCCTGCCCCTTTTTTATTTTTTATTTAGAAACTAGGTATCAGGCTTAGCTTGACTTGGATTTGCAATCCTTCTGCCCCAGTCTCCGAGGGTGCTGGGATTACAAGTAAGCACACATGACCACATCCAGCTGAATTCAGTCCTTTTTTGTTTTTCTGTTTACATATTTCTTTTTTATGATTTTAGTTTATTAGTACATATATGTAGTAAATAATGTTCATTGATTGTCAGAACTTGTGCATGTACATTACATGTCTTAATTTCTTTTTTTATCCTTTTTTTGTTTAGTTTTGTTTTATTTTGTATTTTGTTTTGTTTTGTTTTGTTTTGTTTTGTTTTGTACATGTTTGCAGTATATAATGTTTACATTTCAAAAATTTTCTGGTCTTGCCAGGGATTTAGCTCAATGTCTTAAGCATTTGCCTGGTAAGTGCAAGGTCACGATTTCCATCCCCCATATCAAAAAAAAATTTCTCTTTCTCCCGCATTTCTTTCTTCTTCTTTTTTTTTTTTTTTCTTTTGAGGCAGGGTCTCACTATGTAGTCCAGGCTGGCCTCGAACGCAAAGCAATCCTCTTGCCTCAGCCTCCCAAGTGCCAGGACTACAGTCCCGTGCCACCATACCTGGCTAGCATCAAGTTATTAAATAATGCATCCTTTTCTTATTGAATTGAAGTACTCTGGCATTGTCTTTTTTTGTTTGTTTGTTTTTTGGGGGTTTTTTGTTTGTTTGTTTCGGTACCAGAGATTGAATTCATGAACTCATGACCTTGCACTTGCCAGGCAAGCACTTATGCCACTGAGCTAAATCCCCCGCCCTTTTTTTTTTTTTTTTTTGAGACAGTCTCACTGTGTAGTTAATCTGGCTTTGAACTCCTATATAGCCAGCCTGTCCTTGAACTCAGGCTTTGAACTCCTATATAGCCAGCCTGTCCTTGAACTCAAGCAATCCTTCTACCTCAGCCTCCTGAATGCTGGGATTACAGGCATGCACCATATTAGTACATTTTAGGTATGCATAATGATAACTTTCATCATAAGGAATTTGTACCTGTACATGATGTATCTTCTTTTTCGTATTCCCCTTCCCTCCCAGGGGAGGTTTCTCTTCCCCCTGTTTATTTACAAGAGCTTTGTTTTCAGTTTTTCCTTCTTATTTTTTTCTCGTTCCTTCTTTTCTCCACCACCCTTTGTTCCTTTTCTCATTTGAACATTTGCTTCCCATTTCCCAATTGCTATTACACATTTTGTTCCATATTTACACTTTTGGCTTCTCACACCAAAGAAACCATGTGGTATTTAATTATGTGTGCCCAATTTATTTCACTTTAAGAGTATGGTCTCAAGGTGCATCCATTTAGCTAGAAATATCTTTTTTATCTTTCTTATGACGAGTAGTACGCTGTATTAAAAAAAAAATCTTCTTTAGCCATTCCTTGGTGGATGAGCACTTGGGTGGTTTTCAAGATTTAGCTATTATGGGTGTGCCTATATCACCAAGTGTGATGCTTTTAATTCTTTCAGGAAGATACCAAGAAGAATAGCTGGGTCAAATGGAATCTCTACCCCTAGTTTTTTCTACAGTGAGAGCACTAATTTCTACAGTGGTTGCACTAGTCTGCACTCCCACCAACACTGGAAAAGCATTCCTTTTCCCCCACAGTCTTGTCAGCATTTGTTACTGGTTGATTTCTTGATAATAGTCATTCTTTCTGGGTTGAAATGGAATCTCCTTGTTTTAATTTGCATCTCCCAAATGACCAGTGATGTTGAACTTTTTTTCATATATTTATTTGCTATTTCTACATTTCATCTGAGAAGTATCTGTTTGTTTCAGATGCTCATTTTTGGATTGGGTCTTTAAATTTGAGTGGTGTAATATTTTTTAGTTATTTATATATTCTAAAATAATAGTTTTTTGTCTCTGGAACAACAGGTAAATTTTTCTTCTCACACTGAGTTGTTTCCTTACTCTGTTTCTTTACTCTGTTGGTGGTTTCTCTTGCTGCACCAAAGCTTTATAATAAGATTTAGATACCCAAATTGTTGATTCTTTGGGGTAGTTCCAGTGCAATTGGGCTTTTGTTCATAAAGTCTTTGCCTAAACCAATGTTTTCAAGGATTCTACCTATTCTATCTTCCAGCAGATTTATTGTCTCTGTTTTAATATTTAGATCTTTGGGACTGAGGATTTAGCTCAGTGGAACAAGTGCCTGCCTGGCAAGCGTGAGGTTGTAAGTTAGATCCCTGGTACCAAAAAAAAACAAATAGATCTTTGGCTAGGAGTGGTGATGCATGCTTGTAATCCCAGTACTCAAGAAGCTAAGGCAGAATTATCATTGTGAGTTTAAGGCCATCCTGGACTACAAAGTGAGTTCAAAGCCATTCAGAACTGCACAGCAAAACATTGTCTCAAAAAGACAAAAAAAATTAGATCTTTGATCGATTTTGGGTTTAATTTAGTGTATAGTGAGAGTCTAGTTTAGTGCATTGATCTAGGTTTAATCTCCAGCGTGTGGGAAAAAAATACCAATACAGTAAAATGTAAAGTCCTTTAAGAGTATGGCACACATTCAATTCTTCCAAATTGCCTTGTTTCCTTTAATAATCTATAATAGCCGGGCGTGATGTCTCACGCCTGTAATCCCAGCACTCGGGAGGCTGAGGTGGGAGGATTGTTGCAAGTTCGAGACCAGCCTGGGCTACAAAGTGAACTCAAGACCAGCCTGAACTGCATAGTGAGACCCTGTCTCAAAAAAGCAAAACAATAATAATAATAATCTATAATGACTCTGCAGTTCATGAAGTTCCCCTTCAAACCTGTCAAATTTGCTTTTAGCTTCTTTTGATTTATTTTAAGCTTAATTTTAAACCCCAGTGAGCATCCTCTCATTCTGATATTTAAGGTTTAGCTCAATTATTGCTTTCATTCACAAGAACTGTACTTACTTTTTTGGTTTTTTGTAATAGAGTTTTACTATGTAGTTCAAACTGGCCTTGAACTTACTATGTAGCTCAGGCTGCCTTGAACTAATGGTGATCCTCCTGTCTCAGCCTCCTGAATGCTGGGATTACAGGTGTGCACTGTCACACCACGCAACACTATATATGCAATTTTTTGTATGTATATTTTTATTATAGTTGCCATATTAAGAAGCTGCAGTCTTATCTTCAGACAAGTCCCAGTTCCCTTATTACTTGTTACTCTTGGCATTCCTCAGCTTCACTTCATTTTTTGTTTTGTTGTTTGTACTACTTGGGATAGGACCCTGGGCTTTGTGCATCCTAGGCAGGGGCTCTACCACTGAGTTACACCCTCAGCCCTTTTTTTCTTCCTTTATTTTGGTTTTACTTTTGGGTTTGTTTGTTTGCTTTGAGGGTCTCACTGGAGTTCAGGCTGGCCTCAAATCTGTGGTGATCCTCCTGCCTCTGCCTCCCAAGGGCTAGGACTGCAGGCATGTGCCACCACACTCAGTTTCTTATTTTGAGATAAGATCTCCCTAAATTGCCCATGCTGGCTTCTGCCTTGGCCTCATGAATAGTTGGGATAACAGCCATGCACTATTATGTCCAGCCATATATATGGTTTTTTGTTTTTTGTTTTGGTTAGGCAAATTCTCATATAATTCAGGCTGGCTTACTAGCTCAAAGCTGTTATCAGACAATATTGTGCAGAGAGCTAACTGTTAACCATCATGTCATTAAGGGCACATGACTGTATTTTATTTCCAGAGTGTTTTCTAAAGATATTTAACATAAACAGTCGTAGTGCTGCACACCTATAATCCCAGCACTAGGTGAAGCAAGAGAATCACCACAAATTTGAGGTTAGGCTGAGCTCCATATTGAGTTCAAGGCAAGCCTGAACTACATAGACCTTTTTTCAAGGAAAAAAAAGGTGTCCAACATGGAAAAAAAGAAAAATTGGGGCCAGAGATTTAGCTCAGTGGCTCAAGCATTTGCCTAGTGTGAGGTCATGAATTTGATCCCTGGTACCAAAAGAAAAAAGAAAAAGTTTCCAACATATAGGTGTCTATTTTGAACTCAGCAAATAAACTAAGCAGTATAATGAACCATTTCCATCTATTTTGTTCCATTTTGTGGACTCACTAAGTGGAATTTTTCTGAATGTAAATATGGAATTTTGTTTTGTTTTTTTGAGACAGGGTCTTGCTGTATAGTTCATGCTGGCCTTGAACTTACTCTGTAGTCCAGACTAGCCTTGAACTCATGACTGCCCTCCTGTGTTCAGCCTCTCAAATGCTCGGATTGCAGGAAGACATAACCATACCCAGCTTGGAATTTTAGAATAATTCTATTTTTCAATGTAGAAATAAAAGTAAAAATAAGAAAAACTGAGAAATAGATAAATAGTCTTCCCATCAGTTTCTTAAGATAAATAAGAGATATAACCAGTAGGAAAGTAACTTATATTTCTAAATATAACTTAACAAATAAATCTAACCCTCTGTGCAATTTTAACCAAGAATAACTCATTAGAAGTTAGGCTATAAGAAGACAGCCTATAAGCCCGGTGTGGTGGCACACACCTGTAATCTCAGTGCTCAAGAGGCTGAAGCAGGAAGGTTACTGAAAGTTCAAGGGCAGCCTGAACTGCATAGCAAAACCCTATTCAAAACAAAAAGGAAAGAAAACAAAGCCTGTAACAATTATCATTTCATAATCATCAGCTTATAACTCCTGGTTCTTACAGGTCGGATTTCTGTGCCTATTGATTTACAGAAAGTGGATCTGTTTGATCCCTTTACTGTTCCTACAGTAAGGTATGCTCCAGATCATTGATCATTCTCTGTAAATATGAATTTGAAATAGATTACATTAGATTCCATTTTAGAAAAGTCACTGCACAGGAATGGTTATTCAGTTATGTGGATGTTTGACTCTAAGATTGAATTTTGATGCCAGAAGCAGTGATACAAGTTTAAAATTCAGCTGTATTATAAAAGATTTTAAGGTCAGATAAGTTTGGGAGGGCTGGGCGTATAGCTAGGTTCAGTGTCCAGCACCAAAAATAGTGAGCCTGGGCAATGTCAGCTTAATCATATTAACAATCTATTTAAGGCTGAGGATATCTGTCTATGGTAGAGCACTTGCCTAGAATATGCAAAGCCCAGAGTTCAATTCCAGCACTACCAAGAAAAGTTTTTTTATTATAAGATTTCATAGATTTTAATAACATGCATGAAAAACTACAATAAGAAACTGTACTCTTTAAAGATTCCAAATTGGCTGTTCGTTGTTTGGGGGGCTCAGGGAAGGGGTTTGTATTTTCTTATTTATTTTTCTTTGTAGTGCTGGGGATTGAACCTAGAGCCTTAGCATGCTGAGCAAGCATTCTCTTCTGAGCCATACAGGCTGAAGCATTCCATATAATTGTTTCACAGAAAATCTTAGGAGATTCATTGGCTAGCACTAAATGCGTAATACTGACCAGAAACAAACTTGCAAATTCTCATACTGTTATTTGTAGCTCCCTCTGCTGTGAATTAAATGTCATTTCCACTAATGAAAAGGAAAAAGAGGAGAATGAAACTGAATCTGATATCAAACACAGAACCAGAGGTAGGTTCATATATTGAAGTTTTGTTTGTTTGATTGGTTTTTTTTTTTTTTTTTTAAACAAAGTCTTGCTGTGAAGTTCAGGATGGCCTTAAACTGACTATGTAGCCCAACCTGGCCTTGAATTTGCAATGATCATCTTGCCTCAGCCTTGCCAGTGCTGGAACTATAGGCATGCACTACCATGCCCAGCCTGAAGCTTCACTTTGAACACAAACTTACAAACTTTTTAACCACTTACCCATCCAATTATTTAATACAGGATGACTAAACATTAGAGGGTTTTTCGTTACTTTTCATAAGATAATGTAATAGGAAACATAGAAAACAATTTTATAAAATTTATTCAATACAAAAATCAACTGGCTAGGCATAGTGGCCCATGCCTATAATCCTAGCACTGTGCTTGATTCAATTATTAGAATAAGTATATACTTTAAGTAAATATACTTTTAAGTATATTTGAAAATCTTAGGAATATAAGCCTACTTTTCCAACTCCATGTTTTTAGTCTTAGACAATGTGTTTTTTATTGTTTTGCCATATGTTGAGATATGCTTTAAGTGTAAAAAACACTAGATTTAAAAGACTTATATGGGGCTGGGGATTTAGCTCAGCAACATAAGCGCCTGCCTGGCAAGCTTGAGGTTGTGAGTTCGATCCCCAGTACCAAAAATAAAATAAAGACGTATATGAGAGAGAATATTTAAAAATCTCAACCCTTACTATATGTGTGAAATTGCATGTTTCCTTATATTTGTATCTAGAAATTTTTTATTACACTGTAAAATTGTTTCTGTGTATATGGGAATCAAATTTAGGTCTTCTCATGTGCCAGGCAAGCACACTACTACTGAGCTAATTACCTGCACCCCACCCCTAGGAAATTCTTACAGGAGCCAAGGACGGTGGTGCGCACTTGTAATCCCAACACTTGGGAGACTGAGACAGGAGGATCTTAGGGAACAAGAAACTTAAAAGTTGTATTCTTATGTTATTCTTCCTGCCAACATGCTAATTATAGCACCCATGCTTCATAATTTAGATCATAAGAAGACCAGTCTAGCACCTTATGTGAAAGTATTTGAACAATTTCTTGAAAACCTGGATAAATCTCGAAAAGGAGAACTTCTCAAGAAGAGCGGTAAGACTATACTTTTGCCTTTTATCTACTTAAATCTGAGTAATTCAAAGCATCCAACAAAGGAACAATTTTTGAGCTATAGTCTTTGCCTCCCAAAAAAAATTCACTGATATATTTTACTGTTTTCAAAAATGAGGTGTCTGGCCACTGTGTTCACTCTTGCACAGTGGCCCACTCTCACACTGTAGGGTATACTACTTTTCCTACTTTTATTTGGCCCAAACTTCCTCTGCAGAGCCTGTTTCTTTTCCTACCTTTTACAAAAGTTTTGCTACATTAAAAAAAAGTAATAGCTGGGCATGGTGGTGCACACCTATCATCCCAGCATTGGGGAAGTTGAGACAGGATTAATGCAAGTTGAGCTCAAGGCCAACCTGAACTACATAGTGAGATCCTGTTTCAAAAAGACAAAAAAAAAAGGCTGCTTTAATTCATTTCAACACATAATATTTATTAAACATGTTTTACTTCCGGTATTATTGACAAAAAATGAATTATATATATATGTGAAGTTCAGAGACAGAGGCACAGTGGTACACACTCATTATACCAGCTATTCAAGAGGTTGAGACAAGAGGATTGCCACAAGTTCATGGCCAGCCTGTACTACAAAATGAGACCCTGTCATGTCAAAAATAAATAAAAAAGGTCTGGAAATTGTAGCTCAGTGATAGAACACTTGCCTACCATGTGCAAAACCCTGGTTTTAATCCCCACTACCACCCAAAAAGAAAAAAGATGAATTCTATACCATGTCTCCTTGTCATTAAGTACTAACATGGTAAATTGGAGCAATGGTACACACCTATAATCTTAGCTGTTGGGCAAGTTGAGGCAAGAGGATCACAAGTTGAGCCAGCCTGGAAAATTTAGAAAATTAGCAAGATCAGTCTCAAAATAAGGTCTGAGGATGTAGCTCAGTGCAAAAACCCTGGATTTAGTCCTCTGAAACTTAAAAAAAAAAAAACTCTAATGCCAATATACTATTACTTAATACATAAGTAGAATTTCTATTATCAGAAGTTCTCTGGAAGCTTTTCTGTTTTTCATTTTGGTTTGATTTTGTTTTTTGGGGGAAGGTGTTTTTTTAGCATTAGGAAGGTTTTTTAGAAGGTCTCACTATATAGTCCAGCCTGGCCTTGAAGTTGTAGAGATCCTTCTTCCTCAGCCTCATGGGTCCTGGGATTACAGGTGAGTACCACCACACCCAGGTTATAGTCTAATGAGATAGGGTACAGCATTGCAGAAAGGAAAGGGTATATGTGATGTTGGGCATCAAACCTAAGGCCTTGCTCATACTAGGAAGCATCAAACAATATCCCCAGCCTAGGTTTGTTCATTTTTGGGCCTCTGCCTTTGGCAGAGACAAGAAAGTATCAGATAATTACAAGCCCATCAAATAGTACAGGTAATCTAGAAGAACTGTCAGGAAATGATAGGATATAAAGCCAAAGTGATAGCTAAAGCCAAGATGGGCTTGAATTCCAAACTTAGTGGATTAGGCTTAATAAATAGGAACAAGGAGATTATTAGGCTTTTGAGAAAAGAGAGTACCAGGATGTGTAGTTGTATCATAAGGTCAGATAAGTAAATCTGGAAAGAAAAGGGTTGTAACACCAAGAGGATGGGCTATACCATTAGTACCTTAGCACTGGAAATCTATAACAGGTGCAAATATAGAAACCATTCTTGAAATTGGCAGTGATTTAGAAGTAGAGAGATGGCTGGGGATTTAGCTCAGCGGCATAAGCGCCTGCCTTGCAAGCATGTGGTCGTGAGTTCGATCCCCAGTACCAATTAAAAAAAGTAGAGAGATGAAAGGTGAAAGTGAAGCATCACAGATGGAAGGGGAAAGTTTTAAGGTAATTGTCAATTGTCACATGCAGCAGAGAACTGCTAAAATCCTCATGGGTATAGTGACTAGGAGGTGGTGCAAAGAAGATAGCAATGTCAAATGAAGAGTTCCTTGCAGAGAGGCTGGGGATTCAGCTCAGTGGCACAAGCACCTGCCTGGCAAGCATGAGATCATGAGTTCAATTCCCAGTAAAGTTCCTTGCATAGGCAAAATTTCACAATATATAAACCAAAAGAAAAAAATCATAGTAAACATTATTTAAGAGATTGATAGAGGGGCTGGGGATTTCGCTCAGCAGCATAAGCACCTGCCTTGTAAGTGTGCAGTCATGAGTTTGATCTCTGGTACCAAAAAAAAAAAAAGAGAGAGAGATTGATAGAGACCCTAGAAAACTGTGGCAATGTTACAGAAATAGGAAGACTTTTTCCAATTCAGCATTGCTTATTTTGTTGTGTTGGGGTCAAAGCCAGGGTCTAGACCAGTCCTTTACCACCAAGCCATTCCCCCAACCTCGACTTTAGTTCTTAATTAAATGAATATTGGCTTAAGTAGTGCCTAAGATAATTATTTTATTCAAAAGTAGACACACAAATATGTGCTTATTAAATAAACAATGATGACTCTGAACTTGAAAAGCTTTGCTGAGGCCTCCTTCCAACTGGCTGTGTAAGTCCTTTGTATTCTCATTCTGTACTGGTTTAGCCTGAACTGTGGGCTTCAGCAAATGTGAAAGCAAACCTTTATGCATGATGTGAATTTAACAGAAGCATGAAGCAGATCAAGATGTGACAATGAGTTTTGTTTCCCTTTACTAACTGTTGTTGTAAATCTATTCTATTTTAGATTTACAGAAAGATTTCTGAAGATAACAACTTCCCTCAAACCAGTGTGGATATCTTCTACATTCAACCAAGGATCAAATACTTCAAGACCCATTTAATAAATATGACAGAAATATATGTGTCTTAATGCTTAAAACACAATTTCCTTTTTTAAAATAAAACTTTATTAAACTAAAAATGTGTATACCACACAATTTATACATTCAAAATGTAAGCTTTTACCACATTGACAGAGTTGTACAAGTATAACCACAATCAAACTTAGGCCATTTTTGTTATCCCAAAATACTACTTATAGCTATCAGAATTTCTTTTACCTTGAGAGATACTTTAATGTTGAAAAGAATTCCTGAGACCATCAAAGAGCGTGTCAAGTTTCATGGAAGGGGCCAGTAAAGCAAGGAATAGAACTGCCCAAAATTTTGAAAATTTTAATACACAGAGCTAATTCTAATGCTGCCAATAGGTTCAGTTCTACCAGTTGCCATGTATAAAGGTGAGTGAGCAGTAATAACTCACTGGGTACAGCCTCCATATTTCTGGATAAATGACAGCTTTGTCCTTAAGTCATAGACACTGAATTATACCTGGAATCAGTTGCTGATTTTCCTTTTGTTTTCAGTGGTCAGACAACACCCTACTACCTGTCTTTGCTTTTTCGGTACTGAAGATTGAACCCAGGATCTTTACCCTGAGCTACATTCCCAACTTGCTTCCTTTTTCTTTTTTCTTTTTTTTTTTTTTTTCCTCTCCCCCAATCCCTTTTTAAAACAGATTCAGGGGCTGGGGATTTAGCGGCATAAGCGCCTGCCTTGCAAGCAGGCAGTCATGAGTTTGATCCCTGGTACCGATAAAAAGGAAAAAGACAAAGAAAAAAAAGACAGATTCACTAAGTGACCCAGGTTAAGCTTGAACATTCACTCTTCCTCACAGGTATATACCACTATGACATTTTCTTTTTTTTCACTATGACATCTTAAAATTGTTTTAAACTGACCAGTTCAATCTACCAAAATTTTAATTCAAAAAATATAAGTTACTACATGAACAGTATTAGGCCCCAGCCAAGAGTGAGTTTTTACAACTACTGTATGTCTTTTTTCCTTCAGAGAACAACTGAATTAGTAAACCATAAAGAACCATCTTAAAAAAAATAATAAACTTAACCAATATAAAATCTGCTAAAAAAAACTGCTATAGCCAGACATGATAGTGCAGCACTCTGGAAGGCTGAGGCAGGAGGATCACAAATTCAGGCTCAGTCTAGGCATTTAGTGAAACCCTGTCTCAAAATAAGGGCTGGGGGTGTAGCTCATTGGAACAATGTTTAACTGATATGCTTGAGACTATGGGTTCTATTCTCAATACAAAAAAAAAAAATTGTCAAAACTTGGACTTTTTATATAACTATATACTTAAGTTTTAAATTTTGTGTAATAGATGTTAAAGTGATAGGTTTGGCTTGCCTGCTTCTATAGCCAATCTAAATAAAGTCATTCTAGCATACATTTGGTTTACAGAGAAACATTGAGAAGCAAGCTGTCAAAAGAGTGATTCTCAGGGGCTGGGGATTTAGCTCAGTAACATAAATGCCTGCCTTTCAAGTGTGTGGTGGTGAGTTCCATCCCTGGTACTGATAAAAATCCCCAGTACCAATAAAAAGGAAAAAGATTTAAAAGAAAAGATAGTGGTTCTGTGGCTTCATAAAAACTTCCCTTTATATTTCCTTTAATGTTGTTTCTTCTATAGTCACACATTTTTTTAACCTTTTGGTTTACATAAAATAGACTAGTTAACACACTGAAATGCTTTGCATTTTTTTCTTTTGTTATGATGTTTGTTGGCTTTTTTTTTTTTTTTTTTTGTATTTTTACTGGTACCAGGAATCAAACGACTGCAGGCTTGCAAGGCAGGCGCTTATGCTGCTGAGCTAAATCCCTAGCCCCAATGTTTGCTTTTTAAGACAAGGTCATACTATGTAGTGCAAATTGGCCTTGAACTCACTACACAACCCTGGTTGGTCTCAAACTTGGCAGTTCTGCCTCATCCTCCTGAGTACAAGGATTACAGATGCGTCCTGTGTCTTTTCTACTTTTTTTTTGGTCTTTTCAAGACAGGGTTTCACTGTGCAGTTCAGGCTGGCCTTGAGCTCACTTTGTAGCCCAGGCTGGTCTTGAACTCAAGACAATTCTGCCTCAGCCACCCATGTGCTAAGATTACAGTCATGCACCACCATGCCCAGTGTCCTTTTCTACTTTTTAAGAAAAAATATTAAGGGTTATTGTGTAAAATGTCTCATTCTTTGAGCTTCTACACTATGGATTATTTGGTCTTCAAGTTTTTTTTTTTTTTTTTTTAATTTTAATCAGTACCAGGGATCGAACTCATGACTGCCTGCTTGCAAGGCAGGTACTTATGCCGCTGAGCTAAATCCCCAGCCCCGGTCTTCAAGTTCTTAAAGTGGGTCAATTGAAACTGAAAAGTAAAGGCTCAGTCCATTTAAAAACTCAGTAACAGTAGAAAGACTTGTATGCTTTTTTTTTTTTTTTTTTTTTTTGTCTTTTTCATTTTTATCGGTACCGGGGATTGAACTCACGACCGCCTGCTTGCAAGGCAGGTGCTTATGCCGCTGAGCTAAACCCCCAGCCCGACTTGTATGCTTTTAACTGGAAACATTTTAAGCTTCCATTATAACTTTGTAAAATGTCTAGCACTAAAGTATTTTAATGCTTTAATATTAAAGCCCTTGGATAAAAGCTGGTATTCTGGCCCATAAAAGCATTAATTAAAAACCAAACTCAAGGACACACCTATAATGCCAGCACTCTGGGATGCTAAGGCACAAGGATTAGAAATTAAAATCTACCCTGAGTGATTTAATAACACAGCAAGACCCTTTCACAAAATAAGTAATTATAAAGGGATAGGGCTATAGTTTAGTGCAAAGGCCATGGTTCAACCCCTAGTACCACACAGAACAGAATTGTGAAAAACTGTTGACCTTTTACCTTCATTTGCCAATCCACTAATAGACTATAGAAACAAAGGGTTCAGCAACAGCTTCTACCTCCAAATTTACCAATTTTTTTTTTTTCTTTTTGAGACAGGTTTTGCTATGTCCAATTGAGCCTGAACTCACTATAGAGTCCAGGCTGGTCTTGGACTCTTAGTAGTCCTCCTGCCTCAGCCACCCCAGGACTGGGACACAGGTGTGCACCACCATGCCCAGCTTCAAACTTGCCAATTTATAAAGAAACCCAAAAACTGGATGTGGTGGGAAATGCCTATAATCCCAGCACTCTGCGAGGCTGAGGCCAGAAGATCCAGAGTTTAGGCTAGCCTGAGCTATAGTGACACCCTGTCACCAAAACTGATTAAAAAAAAAAAAAAAAAAAAGCTAGGTGCAGTGGTGCATGTGTGTGATCCCAGCTTTCTGGTAGGCTGAGGCAGGAGGATTGCAAGTTCCAATCCATAGTGAGTGATGATAGCAGTACTCTTTCTCAAAAATGAAAAAGGAAGACCCCTGGAGAAATCACCTGTAATCTCAGCACTCTGGGAGCTGCGACAGGAGACTGCTGAGAGTTCAAAAGCCAGTCTGAACTACATGAAAAAACTCTACCTCACAAAGCCAAGCGAGGTGGGTAGGAGGTAAGACATAGGTTCAATCCCCAGTACTCCAAAAAAAGAAAGTTCATTCCTTGGTTAGTCATTAAGACTGAAAGTTAGAAAAAGCCCATGGGCTTGCTGTCAGGATGTAATTTTATCTAGAGACAATTAGCTATTTTTTACCTGTTTTCTAAAAGTAAAGGGGCTGCAGTGAAAATCTTACAGATCAGGTAGATTAAGTAGAAATTAATTCTATCCACAGTACTCTAGTAGTAATAATAAGTACTTTTGATTTGTTTGTTTTTTGTTTTTATCAGTACCAGGGATCAAACTCAGGATCATGTGCTTGCAAGGCAGGTGCTTACTCCCCTGAGCTAAATCCCCAGCCCCATAACAAATACTTTTTTTTTTTTTTTTTTTTTGCCTTTTTCCTTTTTTATCGGTACCAGGGATCGAACTCACAACTGCCTGCTTGCAAGGCAGGCGCTTATGCTGCTGAGCTAAATCCCCAGCCCCACAAATACTTTTAAAGTAATATGCATTATCTAATTTCATCTTCCTAATAATCCTATAAAGTAGGTATTACTGCCCTCTTTTTTGTTGTTATTTTTGTTTTTGGTACTAGGGATCGAACTCACAAACTCACACTTGCCAAGCAGCCACTTATACCACTGAGCTAAATTCCCAGCTCATTACTGTCCTCATTTTACAGAATAGAAACTGAAGCAAAAACATTGCCTAGAATGGCTGATTATGGTGGGATCCATCCATAATCCTAATATTTGGGAGGCAGAGACCAGAGTCTCAAATTCAGATGCATTTAGTATGTCTGTTGTAACATAGGACTGACATTGAACTATAAAATAGTAATGTTGGGGCAGGGATTTAGTTCAGTGGTTCAATCCCCAGTACCAAAAAAATAGTAATGTTTAAATATAATAACCAGGGATTTAGCTTAGCGGCATAAGTGCCTGCCTGGCAAGTGCGAGGTCCTAAGTTCTATCCGTACTAACAAAACAAAACAAAAAGATATATATATATATATATATATATATATATATATATATATTCATGTTAATATTTAAATAATATAAATTATAAGTATTTGTAAATATTCAACTAGGTACCTTTGGATGAGAGATAAACACCTGTGTAAACATGAACTTGAATGACTTATTGTCAAATGACCAGAGTACAGACACAATGTATGAACAAGGTGCACACTTGATAACAGACATGGTTGTGTCTAATGTGAATCTTCAGAATTTAACACATCATGCTGTAATGGACATACTTAATGCACTCAAGTGAAATTAATGTTTTCTGAATTTTGGTGCCCACAATTTTTTGTTGCTTTCATGAGGACCATATTCTTAAGTCATCATTTTTAGCAGCACTCCTGTCTCATAAGTCTTCAATTAACACCTGATTTAATGGAAACTTTGTGAAGCCCAGCCTGCAGGAGGTTGTGACTTGGGTGAAGTCATGGACAGCCATGTTGCCAAGGCACTACAAGCAGGCTAACTCTACAAGAAGTGCTCAATTAAAAGAGTTCTATTAGCTGGAGATTTAACTCAGTGGCATAAGCATCTGCCTGGCAAGCACAAGGTTCATGAGTTCAATCTCCAGTACAAAAAAAAAAAAAAAAAAAAAGAAAAAATGAAAAGTTCTTTTGCTGGACATAAGAGATTGGACCCAAACGTTCTATACGAAATGGAGTTGAAAGAAATTCAAGTCAGAATTTGAAACTTATAGAATGATGATGTTCCAGAATATGACGACTGTATTTGAAAAAACGTAGTTCATTTTTTGAGACAGGGTCCCACTTTGTAGTGCAGGCTGACCTTAAACTCACTATATAGCTGACTGGCCTCAAACTCCCAGTAAGCCCTCCTGTTTCAGCCTCCCTCCCAAGTACTAGGACTAGGCATGAGCCACCACGCCCAGCTAAATATAATTTTTGTACATGAATAAATGTAGATTATTGTATTGGGGGGGGGGACATTCTTTGAAAATAAGCCCTACTGCATTTTTTGGAGCAAAAATTAAGCCAGGCTTTAGGTAGGTGCAGTGGTGCATGGCTGTCATCCCAGCACCCAGAAGGCTGAAGCAGGAGATTGTGGCAAGTTTGAGGCCAGCCCGGGCAATATAGGGAGTTCAAGGCCAGCCTGAACTATAGTGAGACCCTGTCTCCCCAAAAAAGCAAAAAAAAAAAAAATTTGAAAGAAAAAGCTCAGGCCTTATTTTTCAGGGAAATACAGTATTATTATGACCCTGTCTCTAAATCAGAACTGAGGCAGGAGAATCAAATTCTTGCCCAGCATGGACAATTTATCAACCGAGTGTGACCCTGTCTTAAAATTTAAAAAATAATAATAATATTAAAGGCTAGGGATATAACTTAGGGCAAAGACTCTGGGTTTAATCCCAAGTACTGCAAAAAAAAAAAAAAAAAAGCCTGAAGTAACCCAAATAATATTCAGGAAACAAAACGTGGCTTCAGAATCTGCATGATGGGAAGAAAAAATTTATAACTTCCTATTCCTGGTAAATTAAAAAGTAGCTTTCCGAGCATTTTAAATTTTCACTGGTTCCTTTAAAAGACAGCAGGAATCATCTTCAAGCCATTAGACCAAATAGTTTTTAGTTGATGTAGGTAGGCCGGGCTCGTATTTGCTAAGTCCTTTTGTAGAGCTGACATGGTATGAAAGTCAGCAGCCTTTTCATGAACAAAACACTGGCTTCACATTCTACTTTTCAAGCATCTTTTACAAAAAAGCACAGGGTCTCAGCGGCAAAAGCGTCGGCCTGGCAAGCGCAAGGTCTTTAACTTCGGTCCCCGGTACCAAAAAAAAGCACAGGTTCTTAACTTGTGGTCCTGTGTACCTAGAATGGATGAATTTCCCAAAATAGCAGGCAAAAACAATTGTTATATGTGCCCCCAGCTTTAAAATGATTTCAATATCGTTTTAAAACAGTTCACTCCAATAATAAGGTTGACTTAGGTCACTTCTACTATCCAACGGTGGAAATTCAATTTCTGTGGCATCCTTTTTCTGCATTTGAGAAAGGGGAAATCAAAGACTGTAATTTAAACGGCTACCGCAGCTTTGCCAACCGGTATCTTCCATTAGGGCGTTAAACACGCTCTCCGGAAAGGGCCGAGGTAGCTTGTAGATCGGAGAGCCCCTGCCAAGCCCGCACGTCCAGTTCTCAATTCTTAACCTTATTTAGAGATCGTCACCACCCCCTCCCTGGGAACTGCGGGACTGATCGCAGGATAAACGAACTGGCCGCAGGCAGCTCCTGACCCGGAATTGGATCTTGGTCCCGCCCCTTCCGCACCTGACTTCCTTCTGCAACAGGCGTGGGTCACGCTCTCGCTCGCTCTCTTTCTGCCGCCATCTTGGTTCCGCGTTCTCCGCACAGTAAGTGTTGTCTGCGCTTTAACTCTCTATCCACGGCCATCCTCCTTTCCTGTGGGCTGACCTGCCCCGGGGAGATAGAGTTTAAAGAGAGTTGGAGTGTTTGTGAGGCCACAGGGCTTCCTACTTTTCCCTGGACCAACGGACAAAATGGGGTCTGGGGTTGGTGTATTGGCAACAGCAGGGCATAAGGGCCGCGGGTCCGGGAATGGAGTCTGCGCATGGGGACGTGGGAGCCGTTACAGTGTTAGCGACGGAGACGTCGTTGGGAATGGCTTGACATGAATCTGGAGTAGGTTAAGGGTCACAGCCTTTAAAACCCCAGCACCGTTCCTATTGTGAGGGGAGCGCTGGAACTTACGGCATCCTCTCTGCTTCTCTCAAAAGTCGTCAGAGTACTGGAGGCCCCAGCCCAGGCAGCGTGAGTGTCTGGCGGGGAGCGGGTTCAAGGGTGGCAGCGAAGGACTCTTCTGGTCGGGAACCAAAACGAGAACCTCTCCTTGAGCTGAGAGCGCAGTGGTGATTGTTGGCCTTGTAGGGTCAGGAGTGCGGGACACAACGAACCTGGACACTGAGAAGTCCGCTTTCAATGGAGTAGAGAGACACGATGAGCGAAGATGGTTAGCTTGGTAAAGAGATTAAGGATCGTGTCATATTTCCCCACCTGTTCCCAGCCACCTAACAGCCCTCCTCAGAGTCTTTAAGAATGTTTCACTCTGGTTTGGGCAGGTGACTACATCCCAGTCAATTTAGGCCTCCTTTTTATTCCCTTCCTTCAGAAATGCCCGGTGAAGCCACAGAAACCGTCCCTGCTACAGAGCAGGAGTTGCCACAGCCCCAGGCTGAGACAGGTAGGTTTCCATACCCATGTTACTATTACGATTGACACCTAAGGCTATTTTGCGGGGTAAAGTGACAAAGAGGAAATATATACACATCTGCCTTTTTATAGTTTGTTGTCATTAAAAATTTTTTTTAAAAAGATTGGTTTTCAGCTTTACCAGGAAAGAGAATATTGACTGCTGTCCTGCTAGGACTTCTTTACGAGGAATAAAATCTGTAAAATTTGTGGACCTTAAAAGTTCCCAGCCCTGATCTGAGAGTTATGCCTGCTGCCTCTCAAAGAAGCTGTGCAGGGCCTGGGATTTTTAGCTCAGCGGCATAAGCACCTGCCTGGCAAGCCCAAGGTTGTGAGTTCAAACCCTGGTACCAAAAAAAAAAAAAAAAAAGAAGCTGTGCTATGGAACCACCACCTCATATAGGCATACTAAACCAGGGAAAGGGCTCAGTGATGCTACCTGTAGGAACTGGATGACGCAGCCAGGCTAGGGGGACCTGAAGTTTTTGTGAAGAGCCAGCTGGTTGCAACAAGGTTTTGGATAGCAGAGCTTGGCATTGTGCCTTTGTCACATGTCTGGATGAGTTAAGTGCCCTGGTAAACGTGTCCTGCTGAGCCTCATAGTCTCTGAAAGTCAGTTAATTTCTGTTTTAGAGATTTAGATCTGGAATAGTGCCCAAGACAATTGTCTGGATCCCAAAAGTGAAATCCTTCTGTTTATCTTCAACATTGAAATTAGTGGAGGTGGGTGGGCATGATGGTGCAGGCAGGTATCCCAGTACAGGGAGGATGGCCCCAAGTTTAAGGGCTGCAAAGGAGACTATGTCTCTAAAAGGGGGGCAGGAGGGAGGATTAATAGGTGTACAATGTAGTATGGAGACAAGTTTTCAATTTTGGTTGAATAACTAGAAAGATAGGCAGTGAAAAAAATGTAAAATCTTCTTGTCCTGTCAGTCGTGCAGAACTTAATGAGGGTAATCTTTAAGCCAGTAACAGTGAACCTTTTAAAGCTTTCAGTGATAACAAACAGCTAGCTTAGACACAAGCTGCTTCGACTGTAGACTGTAGAGTCCACCACCTACATGCATCCTTGTCATTTAAAGAGCAGTTTCGGTCTCCTTTTAGAATTAAACTTGTTTATAGTTGAAAGCATTAATGATTCTCCCATCTGTCTGATTTTAGCAGCTGAAGGGATTAATACAGCTGCTGGAAAAAAGGGGGCCCTGAATTGGAAAATGAGCAAGTGAAATCCTTTAGCTACAAGAAACTTGGGAGTGGATAAAGACTTGGTCTCCAAAAATTCTGTGATTTCAGCCCAGTTTCAAAGGTTGCATCATTGAACGGATTAGGATCGTTTGGTTTCTGAATTCTAAACTAATGAGGTTTTGTTTTGTTTGGCAGTACTAGGAATTTAACTCAAGCCTTTTGACTAAGACTAAGCAATATCCCCAGCCCTTTCTTTGCACAGTATGCTGGGGGGAGGGCTCTTAAACTTGGCTTCTTCCTGCCTCTGTGCTGGCCCAGATCAGCACTACCCCATCTGGTTCAATTAGCATTGTTAGTTCCTGAACCAATTCTTAGTGCTTTTAAAACATCTTGATTAGTCTGAGCTTGTACAGTAGGTTTGTTATAACGGACTACCAGTGATAAATGCTCAGGATTTTGTCTGTAACTATAATTAGTCTTATTAGAATGAATGAAGAAGCTAGCTCCAGTCCAGCATGGTGCACAAAACTAATCCCAGCACTATGGAGCCTAAAGCAGAAGGATCACCATAAATTCAAAGCCACCCTAGCTGGGTTTGGTGGTGCATCCCAGCACTCTAGAGGCTGAGGCAGGATCATTGTGAGTTCATGATCAGCCTAAGCTACAAAGTGAGCTTAAGACCAATCTGAACTGCATAGTGAGACTGTCTCAAAAGACAAAAAAAAAAAAAAAAAAAAAATCACCCTGAACTACTTGCACGGCCCTGTTTCCAAAAAAGTTAACTGAAGGAATTGATGATGGTGTCAATGCAGAATATTTTAACATTCCATCTTGAAATCCTGCAAGAAGAAAGCATGTTTTAAATTCTGGTAAATCTATCTGAAAGTATTTGTACAGGAGTCATAAGACTGAATACAAATTTTCAAAGAAAAACTGGTTGAGCCCTCTTTTTTTTCTGTAGTCAGATACTGTAAGGCTTTAAAATTAACTAGTTAAATGAATTTTAAATTCGGATGTTGTCAGTTTTAACTCTCCCAGGCATTGAATATTGTTCAGCTAGTCTACTGATAGCAAATCTTTTAGAGCTTTCAATGATAAATAGCCCACTGTGGAAAGCATGCTGTAGGTTCACCATCACTGACATAGTCTGTTTTTTATCTCCTGAATGAGAAATAGTATTTTTTCCCCTTGTTCAGAAAACCTTTTACTTAGGTTCACTTTAGTCCCAAATGTTGGTCTATTTTGACAAGTGATATACTTTTCCAGACTAAGGAGTTAGATTCTAACATAGTCTTTTCACTTTAGTTTTCTTTCCAAAATAGAACCACAATCTGGTTTAACAAGTTGGGTCAGAGTTTCATAATACAGTCCCTACCCCTGTGACTAAGCTCTCTGTCTCTCTCTCTCTCTCTCTCTCTGAAGGTCTAGTTCATCTTGGATTGATGTGTAAAGACCTTACATTATTGAGTTGATATTCTCAAGAATTTCAAATGTAATAGAATTGAATTATGCCAGGTTCCCCCATGTATGTTTTGTTTTGTTGTAGGTTTTCTGGTACTGGAATCAAACTCAGGATCTTTTGCTTGCCAGGCAGGCACTATGCCAGTGAACTGTATTACATCCCCCCTTCTAAAATTATTTTAAGAGGTTTATTTTTCTAGCCTAGTGAATCCTGGGAATATAAAAAATGCAGGGGGGTTGTTTGTTTTTCTAATTCATTTTTAATTCCCCATCATTATCACTGATTGCTGCCTTGTTTATTCCAGTTTTCAGTGTGATTCAGTTAGTTTTTGATCCTTGGGTAGGCAGGATAGCACAGCTATTCCTGTAATTCTATTGGCTATGAGAAAAGACTTAGAAATAGGATCCATTTCAGGGTCAAAGGGAAGGAAACAACTGGGTTTAAGGAATAGGAGCATAGACCCATTCCTGGACCTGTTCTCCCTGTTTAGAGATATGTTGCCATTAGACATTTTCTCACCTTAAAATAGTTGGTTTATTGTGGTAGAACTTGGAAAGTGTGGGACACGAGAATGATGTACTTTTTCACTTTACCAGTGACTTGTATTTGGGGAAAGATTTGGTGTTGCTTGTCACCTTTGTCTAATCTTGTGTGGTGACCTTCATTCTTAGATCTAAAATCTCATTGTTTCTGTGAGGCATGTTATGCCAAGTTGGACTGCTTAACTCACCTTTTTTTCGTTTGTTTTTTGTTTTTCCTTCCTTCCTTTATCTTTTTGCTTTTATCCTCCAGCTGTGCTTCCTATGTCTCCAGCCTTGAATGTCACTACTGCCTTAGGGCAGCCAGGATCTACCCCTACCCCTCCTTGCTCCTTGGCCCCCCAACAATGCCCCATACCAATTGCAAACCAGTCATCCCCATTTCCCGCTCCCTCTACTAGTAGCTCAGTCTCTTTAGAGGTTCCTTTTCCCCAGCCAGCTTCAGGAATGACCATGCCTTTAGAAACTTCCCCTGACACCCCAACTTTCCTACCACACCTGATAGGACCTCCTATCTCCCCAGCTGCCTTAGCCCTGGCCTCTCCCATGTTAGGGCCAAGTTTGAAAGGTGCCCATTCCTGTTCAGCTCCGTTGGCTCTAGTTGCATTGGCTCCCCACTCAGTTCACAAAAGTTCAGCTGTAGCTGAGTCAGGGTCAGTGACATCTCTGTCAGCTCCCCTCACTGCCTCAGAACCAAAGACCTCTCCCATTCAAGTTCCCTCTCCAGTAGTTCCTAATCTGAAAGATCCTACCCCATATCTTCCAGTTACAGTCAGTGGAATTCCTCCCCACTTTGTAACTCCCTTGGTCTCTAGTGAATCTAGAGTATCTTCTTATCCTCAGATACCACCTATCACTTCTCAGGTTAGAAGTATCCCCGTTTCCCCAGCTCTAATGCCACAAAATCCTTTAAGCTCAAGCCTAAAGGGGCCTGTTGGTTCACCTACTACCTTCTCTCTCTCAACCCAGTCTGTTCCTGCAGTGGCCTCTTCGCAAAAGACTGGAATTCCCAATATCCCCCCAGTTTTCCCCACTTCCCTTAGCACTCATCTTGCACCTTTACATCAAAGTTGTTTAGGCTCTCCTGTTCAACCTTTAGGTCAAACAGGCCCTAGCATTCTGTTAGATTCTATAACGAATACTATTTCCAAAGATCATTCTTCCATGGAGGCCTCTTACCCATCTCAGAGATCTGAGATTCCTCCTCTTCCTTCTAGGAGTGAGCTTATTGCTAGTGCTGCCGCTTCCCTTCCATTCAAAGCTCCCACTTCAACTCTAATTATTTCTGCTGATAAAGGCCAGTCTGCCATCACTAGCGTAACCTGCCACAGTCCTGCTGTCTCCCCAAATGTAGCTACTGTTTATTCATTGTGTCCCTCAGCCTCTCTTATTCTCAAAGGCCCAACTAATACTACTACCTTTGAGGTAGCTACTTGTGTGGCTTCTCCAGTTTCATCAGGTCCCATAAGTGGTAAAGAATCAACTTCTTCTGCCTTGGGTGTGGTACCTATGACTTACAAGGAACTTCCTACTCCTCAGGTGGCAGCTACTCCATCCCAGGCAGGATTCCCTACCAAGAAAGATTCTATTAATCTGCTACCTTTGGCCCTGGCAGGCCCCCAAAATTTTCCCTCTCTTCAGAATGTATCATCTCTGGAAGTAACTTGTGGAGCCACTGTAGCAAAGAAAGGCCTTGTAGGCCCTCTCCCTGTGACTGAGCCAGCTGGTGCTACTGCTGCTGCTCTGGATGTCAGCTCCCCAATCTCTGTAGTTAAGACAGATCCTTATGCAAGCCCAGACTCTACTAGTCTGTTTCTTAAAAGTTCTGATACTGCCCCAACAGTGCTTGATATTCCTTTGGAAAGTGCTGACCCTGTGGGAGTGGCTCCTACAGCTGCCAGAGATACTGCTTCTCCTGCAACTACATCCGGTCCTTTTGTAGGAGCTGTCTTGTCAGCTGCTGAAAACCACCCAGCTAAAAAGGATATTTACACTCCTACTACTTTACCTTTGGTTCCACAGACCTCTGAAAGTTGCCCTGTAGCTCCAGCTGTGAATTTATCCCCCCAGAATGTTTCTGTTTCTGCAGCTACCGTGGTAGAGGCCCCTGAAATTCCTAAGTCTTTGCCTTTTCCCACAGTTGTACCAGCTGACATTTCTCTTGAACAAAAGAAAGTTGGTGATATTTCTCATACCTCAACATTGGCACCTTTGGCTTCCTCCCCTGGAGGGCATCCAAGTGAAGATTCTGGTGCTTCTGTTACTATATCTTACCTGGCTAATTCCCCATCTCCTTTAGGGACTGGTATTTCTCCTCAGTCTAAAAGACTGGCAACCCAGAAGGATTCCACTGTCACTGATAATCTGACTGGAAATGTCTCCAGTATTTCTCACATTGAAGCTTCTTTCCTTCCAGAAGCTAGTCATTCTTTTCAAGACCCTAAAGATTCACTAACCAAAAAGCAGTCTCCTCCTTCCTCTACTCCTTTCCCAGAAGGAACAACACCATGCCCCAAAGAGGTCCCAGCAACCCTCTGTCCCATAGAGGTCCCTGATTCCCCACTTGCAGCTCCAGCATCCCCTAAAAAGGCCCTAACAACCCAGTCCTTCAAAGGGACTCCCACTATCCCAGCCAAGACTCCTTCCTCCCATAAAAAGGACCCTGCAACCTCATCCCTCAAAGCACCCCCCATTGCCCCAGCTAAGACATCTACCTCCCCCAAAAGAGTTCCCATTCCTCTATCTGAGACTGATCCCTCCCCCCAAAACTCCTCAGCAACTGCAGCCCCCAAAGAGACCCCAGCAATCCCCTCTTCCAAAGGAGCCACCGACCCGTCAACTGAGACTGCTCCCTCCCCCAAAAAGGCCTCAGCAACTACAGCCCCCAAAGAGACCCCAGCAATCCCCTCTTCCAAAGGAGCCTCCACTCCCTCAACTGAGACTCCTCCTCCTCCCTCCCCCAAAAAGGCCTCAGCAACTACAGCCCCCAAAGAGACCCCAGCAATCCCCTCTTCCAAAGGAGCCTCCACTCCCTCAACTGAGACTCTTCTTCCTCCCTCCCCCAAAAAGGCCCCAGTAACTGCAGCCCCCAAAGAGACTCCTACAACCCCCTCTTCCAAAGGAACCTCTGCCCCCTCATCTAAGACTCCTCCCTCCCCCAAAAAGGCCCCAGCAACTGCAGCCCCTAAAGAGATTTCAGCAACCCCCTCTTCCAAAGGAGCCCCCACCCCCTCAACTGAGACTGCTCCTTCCCCGAAAAAGGCCCCAGCAACTGTAGCCCCCAAAGAGACTCCAGCAACCCCCTCTTCCAAAGGAGCCCCCACCCTCCTAACGGAAACTCCTCCCTCCCCCAAAAAGGCCTCAGCAACTACAGCCCCCAAAGAGACTCTAGCAATCCCCTCTTCCAAAGGAGCCTCCACTCCCTCAACTGAGACTCCTCCTCCTCCCTCCCCCAAAAAGGCCCCAGTAACTGCAGCCCCCAAAGAGACTCCAGCAACCCCCTCTTCCAAAGGAGCCTCCACTCCCTCAACTGAGACTCCTCCTCCTTCCTCCCCCAAAAAGGCCCCAGTAACTGCAGCCCCCAAAGAGACTCCAGCAACCCCCTCTTCCAAAAGAGCCTCCACTCCCTCAACTGAAACTCCTCTTCCTCCCTCCCCCAAAAAGGCCTCAGTAACTGCAGCCCCCAAAGAGATTCCAGCAACCCCCTCTTCCAAAGAAACCTCCATCCCTCCAACTGATACTCCTCCCTCCCCCAAAAAGGCCTCAGCAACCCCCTCTTCCAAAGGAGCCCCCACCCCCACAACTGAGACTCCTTCCTCCCCCAAAAAAGTCCCAGCAACTCCATCCCTCAAAGGGGCTCCCACTCTCCCAGCCAAAACTCCCTCCAAAAAGACCCCAGCATCTGCAGCCCCTACAAGGGCCCCCACTCCTCTACCTGAGACTTTTCCTTCCCCAAAAAAGGCCCCAGCAACTCCAGCCCCCAAAGAGGCCTCCACTCCCCCACCTGAGATTTCTCTGTCTCCAAAAAAGGCCCTAACAACTGCATCCCCCAAAGAGACCTCAGCAACTCCTTCCAAAGGAATCTCCACTCCCCCAACTGAGACTTCCCTCTCCAAAAAGACTGCAGCTAGTGCAGCCTCCAAGGAGACCAGTGGGGCTCCATTCCCCAAAGGGGTCCCCACCACCACTATAAGTGTCCCAGAAAATGGAGTCCTCAAAGAGACCCCAACAATTGAATCACCCAAAGAGGCTCCCACTGCCCCAGTCAAGACTCCTTCCCCCAAAAAGACTTCAGCAACTGCAGCATCCAAGGAGACACTAACAACTATAACCCCAAAAGGGTCCCCCACCTCCACAGCCAAGACTCCCCCCAAAAAGGCCTCAGCAACTGAAGTTCCCAAGGAGATCCCCACAACTCCATCCCCCAAAGGGGTCCTTACCACCCCTGCTGAAACTCCCCTCTCTCCTAAAAAGGCCTTAGCAACTGCAGCTCCCAAAGAAGTCTTAACAGTCCCATCCCCCAAGGCAGCCTCCATTTCCTCTGGTGTGGTTCCTGCCTCCCCTAAAAAGCCCCCTGCAACTGCAGCCCCCCAAGAGACCCTACCAAGCCCACCCCCCACTGAGGTTCCCACTTTACCATCACAGACTACTCCCTCCCCCAAAAAAGCCCCAGCAACTGCAGCCCCCAAAGAGACTCTGGCAAACACATCTTCCAAAGGAGCCTCCATTCTCCCAGCTCTGGTTCCTCCTTCCCCTAAAAAGGCCCCAGCAGCTGCCACCCCCAAGGAGATCCTAGCAGACACACACCCCTCTTCCAAAAAAGGTCTGGCACCTGCCTCCCCCAAAAAGGCTTCAGGAGTACCAGCCCCCAAAGAGCCTCCCATGCCCACATCAGAGACTCCTCTCTCCCCACAAAAAGCCTCAAGTTCATCCAAAGGGGCCCCCATTACTACAATCCTGGCTCCTGCCTCTCCTAAAAATGCCTCAGCAACTTCAGCCCCCAAAGAGGCCCCAGCCACTCCATCCTGCAAGGAGAACCCTTTTCCAGGCAAAGCTCCCTCCCCCAAAAAGCCTTCAGTAACCTCACCTTCCAAAGGGATCTCAAGTGGCCCATCCCCCCAAAAGGCTACAGAAACCACAGCTTCCAAAGAGCCCCCCACTCCTACAGTGGTGACTCACTCCTCCAAAAAAGTCCCATCAGCCAAAGGGAGCCCCCCTGTCTCAGCCAAGACTCCTTCTCCAAAAAAGACCCCAACAACTGTAGCACCCAAAGAGGGCCCTGATCCCCAAGTTGTGATGCCCAGCCCCTCTCAAAAGGCTCCAGTAACCCCGTTTCCCAAAGGGGTTCAATCTGTCTCATCTGTGACTCCCAACTCCCTTAAAGATGCCCCAGCAAACCCATCCTCTAAAGGAGCTTTCTCTCCTTCAGCTAGTACTCCTCAAAAGACTCCAGCCTCCAAAAGGGCCTCCACTTCCCTAGATGCCACCCCTCTCTCTTGCAAGGAAGGCCCAGCTTTAGCTGTGACTCCTCACTCTCACAAAGAGGCTCCATCCTCTGAAGAAGCCCCTATTTTTCCAGCCACTCTTGCTGCTTCCAAAGGAGCCCCTGCCATCTCCTCTGTGTTTCCTCCCTCCCCTAAAGGCTTCCCTACTTCCCCAGTGTCAGTTCCAAGTACCTTGGGGGCTATTGACCCTCAGGCATTAGAAGGGCTCCCAGAAAAGAAAAGCCCCATAGATACCAAAGAAGTACTTGTTGCCCCAGCTCCAAAAAGTGCATCAATCACTGAGGCTCCTGCTCATAAAGGCACAGGAGCCAAGAATTCTGCCACTGTACCTCTTAAGTGTTCTGATCCCTCTGCTAAAAATGATACTAAAGGATCTCATTCTACCATGGCTGCAGCACCCATTCAGAAAGATTCTTCAAAGACAACAAAAGCCCTCCATATTTCTACAAAAGGCACAGGTTCTCATTCTGCAAAAGGTTCCTTGGCTGCTCCTCCTGAGTCCAAGACATCTACCCCTCTAGCAGCAGTGGCCTCTGACCCTAAAGCTGGATCAGCACCTGTCTCTCCAGCACCCAACCCACCAGTTTCCCTGCCTCTTGCTCCCTCCCCAGTTTCCCCTCTCCTTCCTAAACAGCAGTTTCTGCAGTCCTCACCTGGGCTGGAGTCACCCTCTAAGCCCCCAGCCCCTGCTGATGAGGATGAGCTGCCGCCTCTGATTCCCCCGGAACCCATCTCTGGGGGCATGCCTTTCCAGACGGTCCTCGTCAACATGCCCACCCCCAAACCTGCTGGAATCCCTGTCCCAACCCCCTCTGCCAAGCAGCCTGTTTTGAAGAACAACAAGGGTATTTGCCTTGGTTTGCTGTGTGCATGGTGTGTTGCCCACACCCCTCTTGGGGCTACCCACCAGTACTAACCCAAGGATGCGCCGCTTTCTCCAGTACATTTGCTTGGGTTTGGACATAGTACATAGAATAATAATCTTAAACGCAAAAAGCTCTGGGAATACAAAATTAAATCTTGGTTTTCATTATTTCAGATAGTACTTGGTGTGTTATGTAATATGGTACAGACTGAACTATGTATCTGTGGTCCTTTTTACCTAACACTGCTGACATTGAAAACCAAGACCTACCAGACCTTTAATTTGCTCTAATCTTACACATCACTAACCTTGTCCCTGGGCCTGGGATTTGCTAAAAATATTGGGGACTCTGGAGCTATTTTTTTATTTCATAGACTTAGTAATGACCAGTTGCCCAGGGACTTCCTTTCTTAAAACTGTAGGCACCTAAAGAATGGTGCAGGTAAATGCTTTTTTCTTTCTCAGTAGTCTTTAGTGGTGCTTGGCCTTTCAATTAAGGGAAATAAAATGTGAGATACATTTGAAAGAAATGGGGGAAATCACAGAATCATAAGAGAGGTGACTTTTAGAACTTGACATTGAGGATTTTCCAGAGATACTGATTAGAGCAAATTACTAGTGAATGGTTTGAAAATAAGGCGAAATGTATATACATAATTGTTTCTGGCCTTCTCTGATTTAAGTTTAAAGAAATGAGGAGAAAGCACCCTACCTGCTCTGGCCTGTCATTTTATTGTTTCTTCACTTGAGTATCCAGAGATAACCTTTTGCCAGAATCTTTCTGAGATGATTGAGCTATTGAAGTCCCATAGGTGCTTTGTGGATGACTATACCAAGAAATGAAGATCTTAAAGGGGACAAAAAAATCAATTGTAATACTAAAAATATTCAGTATATCTAGTGATTATCCCTCATTTCTGGAGGTGAGTCTGTAATAGATACATATGTATTAGTGTGAGTTGGGGGGCTTTCAAGTTGGCTTTACACAAGTTAGTGAATTTACATTTAACATTGTAAGGCTTAGCATATAGCAGTGATCTCTAGTCCACACAAGCTATGATATGCATCCTCCTTAAAATCTTTACTGTAGAATTGTAAAGCTGTTTGTCATCTTAGGGTCTGGAACAGAATCTGACAGTGATGAATCAGTACCAGAGCTTGAGGAGCAAGATTCCACACAAGCAACCACACAACAAGCCCAGGTGGATATTCTTTTATTTTACTAAATGGTTGGTGTAAGTGCTGTATGCGGGTTATGGGAGCACTGAAGAACCAGGGCTAAAAAATCTTGGTAAAGGAAAACCACAGAGATAGTGATACCTAGGTCTTAGATTCCATTTAATTCATAGCTGTTTTGTCTTTAGCTGGCAGCAGCAGCTGAAATCGATGAAGAACCAGTCAGTAAAGCAAAACAGAGTCGGAGTGAAAAGAAGGCACGGAAGGTAACATTTTAATTTACAAACAAGTGGTTACAATGAAATAACTTCAGAGTAGAACACTTGCACTGGAATTGTTGGTAGTAGTAAAATATTATTTAGTAACAAGGTACAAAAAAAGTGCATGCATTCTGAAAATTGATTTTCTGACTCTTAATTTGTTTTTGTTTGATTTAGTTTTCAGTTTGTTTGCTTTGGTTTGGTTTTTTGAGTCAGGGTCGTGCTTTGTAATTCAGAGTATCCTTGAACTCACTAGGTAGCCCAGGCTGTCCTTAAACTCAAGGCAGCCCTCCTGCCTCAGCCTCCCAAGTGTTGAGATTACAGGGATGCATCACCACCCCAAGTTGTGTTCTTAATTTGTATAAATTTTTCATAACCCAGGAAAAATATTTGCTTCAGGATGATAACTTTTCCTGTGCTTTTTAAAGATTCTTCTAAGGTTGAAACTTATTATTCTTTTGTATTCTTTAGGCTATGTCCAAACTGGGTCTTCGGCAGGTTACAGGGGTTACTAGAGTCACTATCCGGAAATCTAAGAATATCCTCTTTGTCATCACAAAACCAGATGTCTATAAGAGCCCAGCTTCAGATACCTACATAGTTTTTGGGGAAGCCAAGGTGAGTAAGGTTTTCCTAAACTCTGAAAATTATTGACATTTTGACCTATGTAATTATTTTGGGAGCACTATCCTGTGCATTATAGATATTTAGCCACTTCGTATTCAGTGTGATAACAAAAAAATCTTCAAACTTTGCCAAATAGTCCATGGAGACAAATATCTATAGCTAAGAATCTATACCTAAGCTACTTCTCTTTCTGTGATAATCTAAGTGAGGTATGCATTTTATGATATATAGTAAGTTACCTGAAATAGATTGAGTGACAAATCTGAAAAAGTATTTATGATTTCTTTCTTTACTGTAAAATTATCTCACCTGAGTCTATTCTCTGCCCTGTAGATTGAAGACTTATCTCAGCAAGCACAGTTAGCGGCTGCTGAGAAATTCAAAGTTCAAGGTGAAGCTGTCTCAAACATTCAAGAAAATACACAGACTCCAACTGTTCAAGAGGAGAGTGAAGAGGAAGAGGTATACCAGAAAAGCTTCTGTACTTTTAATCTTCTCTGCTTCATCTACTTATTTAGTCTGTGATGTCAGATTTTTTTTCCCCCCTCTGTACTGGGGATTGAAGCCAAAACTTTGACACTAAACTACCTCTCCTGCTTCAGTCTCCCAGAGTGCAGGGATTATAGGCATGTGCCACTGCACTCAGCTAGATTCTCTGTTTCTTATGTACTCGGTCCCCGCTAAGTTATGTGGCTTTTCATTCATTGTAAGAACAGGATTCAAAAAGATTGTGGCTGGAGGCCAGCCTGAGCTACAGAGTGAGTTCAAAACCAGTCTGATACCCTGCCTTAAAAAGACCAAAAAAAAAAAAAAAGGCCAGACGGAGTATAGCTCAGTGTCACAGTGTCTGCCTGTGCAAAGTCCTGAGTTTCATTCCTGGTCCCTGTCCCCCCCCCCCCCCAAATTACAGCTTCAAAGAATTACTGAGGTTCTTACCTGCAATTTATTAAGCTTCCCTTCCCTTTTCCTCTTTTAGGTTGATGAAACAGGTGTGGAAGTTAAGGACATAGAATTGGTTATGTCACAAGCAAATGTATCAAGGGCAAAGGCGGTCCGAGCTCTGAAGAACAACAGTAATGATATTGTAAATGCTATTATGGTAAGTGTCCATGACTATTCCTTAGCAGCCTCTTACCTGACCAATCAGAGTGACCTTAATCTTCTCTGCCTAATATTAGCCAAATAGGAAGCCCCATTCCAAAACCTATTCTGAGTTGCCTTAAGTTTTAAGACCAGAACTCTCCCAGTTCATCACGTCTAATTATCTTTTTTTTCTTACAGGAACTAACAATGTAATCATCTGAAAAGAGGACTTCTTTGGTGTTTGCAAAAAGGTCACTGCAGCTTGGTTTGAAATTTGTACTGTTTCTATCACTAATAAAGTTATGACTTATTGGATGAACTCAGTGGGTGCTTGGTCTCTTCCCCCAACTCACTCTACCCAAAATTGAAGTCTTCAGTAATTTATTTCAAGACCACCTTTAATCAAAAAGATTTGTTGCCCCAGATTTTCTCTCTCTTTTTTTTTTTTTTTTTTTTTTTTTTTTTTTTTTTTTTTTTTTTTTTTTTTTGTCTTTTTCCTTTTTATCGGTACCGGGGATTGAACTCACGACTGTGTGCTTGCAAGGCAGGCGCTTATGCCGCTGAGCTAAACCTCCAGCCCCGATTTTCTCTATTTTTAAAATCTCAACCTTTTTCACCTCTTTTTTTTTTTTTTTTTTTTTTTTTTTTTCAATACAAGAGTTAATACGGATTTTTTCACCTCTTATAAAGTATTATTATACTAGCCCATGGTGGTCAACAGGCTATTTGCTGTCATTGAAAGCTCCTGGGCACGTGTGGTAGTTTCAACAACACTACTAGGCTGTTAGGACCCTCTTATTTTCAGAGACGACAACAGTACTTTCTCAGTTTGTTTCTTCTCATGTTAACCATTCACAGAATCTGATTCAGCTAATAATTCATGTCTGAATTTAACAGTTTACTTAAAATACTTTGACTTAGGGGCTGGGGATTTAGTTCAGCGGCATAAGCGCCTGCCTTGCAAGCAGGCAGTCGTGAGTTCGATCCCTGGTTCCGATGTAAAAAAAAAAAGAAAAGAAAAAAAAATACTTTGACTTAAATTTTTTTTTTTTTTTTTTTTTTTGGTCTTTTTCCTTTTTATCGGTACCGGGGATCGAACTCACGACTGCCTACTTGCAAGGCAGGCGCTTATGCTGCTGAGCTAAATCTCCAGCCCTGACTTAAAATTTTTAAACTTTACGGTAATCCAAAGCAATAAGCATTTGAGAAGATAACTTTGAATTTTGATCTGATGCTTGGTGGTGCCAGCAGACCATTTAGCCACATAGTCAAAAGGATAAACCAAACAGTAAAGGGTACTATGTTACTAACTTGATACATTAAATGCATTTTCAGTGTGCCATGGAATTACTGGTTTGTAACTCGAGGATCTACCTATGATCACAATCCTATGGCACACAGGCCACAGCAGTTTGTATGTATCATTGAAAGCTCTGAAAGGTTCTCTATCACTGCTCTAAGGAGTTTGCTTTAAGCCAGGCTTGGTACAATCCCAATTAGTTATAACTTGTGTGAAGGCTTAGTGTACCAAAAACGTGGACAAAAAGTGGTTATTTGTAAAAGATGAAAATTGATCTCACAAAGAGGAAGATTGTGACTTTAGTGTAAACATAAGGAATGCAGCATACAGACAATCTAGATTATGTAGATTATAGGTAGCCACAGTTATGATCACAATAAGTGAAAAGCAGAACTATTTCAGACACACAATAGGCTAGTTTATAATAAAAACTTGGAACCCCAAGAAAAGTATGGATTGTCTGAATAATTCAGGAAAAGACTGGGTATATATAGCTTAGCAGCACAGCACCTGCCAACCAAGTGCAACGTGCCAAGTTAAATTCCTAGTACCAAAAGTAATTCAGGGGACACAACTAAAATTTAGAAATGGGAAAGGGTATAGAGGCAGTATTAATTGTAATCCAGCATTTGGGAGGCTGAGGCAGGATCTCCTGAGAGTTTGAGACCACCCTGGACTATATAGCTGAGACCCTGTCTCAAAAAACAGAAAAAACAAATGAGTACATTAGATGGGAATAAGGTATATCAACACCATTTATAATTGTTTGGTTTTGAGACAGGGTAAACTCACAATGTACCTGTGGCTGCCCTGAAACTCAAAGTGATCTGTCTCAGTCAGTGCTGGCCATGTTGGGATTATAAGGCCTGCACCACCACACCCAGCCATCATGGATGACTGGTTTAGACTTTCAGTTGTTGAGTTTGATCTTTCAATCCCTGGTTTGGGAATTTTTGTTTGAGACAGTGATTCCCTATGTAGTTCAGGTGGGTCTCAACTCAAAGTGATCCTCCTGCCTCAGCCTCCTAAGAGGTTACAGATGTATGCAACCATGCCTTACTGATCTTTCAAAGCCTGTAAAAGGAATTATAATGTGAATGAAAGACCAAACCCTAACATTTATTTCCTTCAAAGAGCTTGTCCTTTTTTGTTCCACAGCAGGGAAGTATTCAATAGAGGGGAAGTACAGATTGATGAGTAAAGTTTGATTAAGGATGATTACCTACTTCCATTTCACTTGGAACAGTTTAGACCAGTGATAGCAAACATTTCAGAACTTTCAAGGATACAGTTAGGCATGGTGATGTATGACTAATCACAGTTTGTGTGTGTGTGTGTGTGTGTGTGTGTGTGTGTGTGTGTGTGTTTGTCTTTTTTATCGGTACCAGGGATTGAACTCACAACTGCCTGCTTGCAAGGCAGACGCTTATGCCGCTGAGCTAAATCCCCAGCCCCTCTAATCACAGTATTTAGGAGGCTAAGGTAGGAGAATTGTGATATGAAGCCAGTCTGGGCTATGTAAGAGTTCAAGGCCAACCTGAATGATACAGTGAGACCCTGTCTCAAAAAAAAAAAAAAAAAGAAGGCAAATCAGCCCTCTGTAGCAGGGATGCTGTAGGTTTGCCACCACTGATTTAGATTATTTGAAAGTCACAAAACTGAAAATAGGTCCTTGATGCAATTTCCAAAAGAGAAACAATTTAAAATTCAATCAAAAGTATTTTTCTAAAAACGAGGAATGGCTAATAAATATATGAAAAAATGAACACATTCCCAAGGGATAGTAGGTTGAACTACCCATTAGATAGCTTATACCACTGGTACAAACATCTAATCACTTTTATTGGTCTTTTTACTAATAAAATTAATAAATAAAAATGGACTGAGAATGCTTGTATTTGGATAATCAATGCCCTGCTGGGCATAGTGGTGTACTTCTGTAATCCTAGCATTCAGGAGGCTGAGGCAGTGGGATCACTGCAAATTAACAGGCCAGCCTGCGCTACATAGGAGACCCTGTCTGAAAAAAAAAAAAAAAAAAAAAAAAAGGAAAAATGGTATTGCAAATTGTTTATCAATAATTCTCTAAAATTTAACAGGAAAAGTATCCCATTGCTAGTAACAGACATTTACAACTGCTATACCACAATTAAAGTTTTTATACCATTTGTTTTCCTTAACGAACTAGAATATGACATCTGCTGAATCTGCCTTTTGCATTATTGTAATCAAAGACCCTCTGAGAATTGGTACAGGCTGCTGGATGAGGACATTGTTCTTGACCACTGGTAGTTCAAACTGGTGGGAATAATCAAATCAGAGATACCCAACACTGTGAATGAACTGTAGCCTCATCCTGAAATTCAAATGAAATGTAAAACAAAAAATTTTTTTTAAAAAGTAGCCTGGCTAAAAAAATAAAATAAAATAAAATTACAAAGTAGCGTGGCTAAAAAAAAACAAAAAATTAAAATGAGAGCTGGATGTGGTGGCTCACACCTGTAATCCCAGAATTTGGGAGGTTGAGACAGAAGGATCACCCTGAGTTTGAGGCCATCGTGGGCTACACAGTTCAAGAACAGGTTAGTGACACCCTGTCTCAAAAAAACTTTTAAAAATATGTATTATGTATAGGTACAAAGTCTTATGATGAAAGTGATCAATATATATGACAAAAAGTTCTGGCCCTGTTCGGTCACTTCAGTGATTTAGCAAACTGTCTCAAAAACTTAAAAAGCTGAGTTTGGTGATACACGCCTATAACCCCAGCACTCAAAGAGGCTGAAGCAGGAGGAGCACTGAATGCAAGGCCAGACTACACTATAGGTCCCTGATTCAGACAGGTGAACTCACCAGGTAGCCCAAACTGGCCTCAAATTTAGAGATCCTGCCTCAGTCTACCAAGGGCTAGGATTATAGGTGTATGCCACCAAGCTGACTTCATTTTCAAAAATTCTTTTCCCCACTCTGTAGATAGTACTGCTATGTCTTCAAGTACACTTATTTATTCAGTATCTGTTGTATTGCAAGGAAAATGATTCAATACAGGACACATAATTAGTATTATTTTATAATAGTCACAGAGAGTCAAACACACAAAGTGCAGGAAATGTTTTCACACAGCAAAGACCCCAAAGAATCCAGCTGAGGGCCCAGGTCCCACAGCAACATTCCATGTGAGTCCAGCTCAAGATTTAGAGCCCATGGGCTGGGGATTTAGCTCAGCAGCATAAGCACCTAATTTGCTACCAGGCAGTTGTGAGTTCGATCCCTGGTGCCGGTAAAAAAGAAACAAAACAACAAAAAAAAAAAAATTGAAAAAAAAAAAGATTTAGAGCCCATGACAATGCCCCCGCAAGAAGTCCAACTGGAGGTCTAGAGCTCACAATGACTCATGCACTGATTTCACAGATCTGCCCTGGGAAGGCCAAAAGGTCAGCGGTGGAAGCTAGAAACTCGGTGCCAACAGGACGAAGTATCTATGCCAATAGGCTGAGGGTTCTGCAACGGAGCCAAGAAGCGATGCTCAAAGTAAGGACCAGAGCTTCCCCAAAAAGTACCACAGCCATCCTCAGCGACAATGAGGGGTCCAGAGCTCCTCCAAGGAGAACAGCTGAGCTCACATCAGGAAGCCAACTTGGCAAGCTTCCCTAGGAAATTGAACAGCACACGTCTTTCCCGCTGAGCTAGGAAGTCATGTTCAAAGTAAGGACCACAGCTCCCCCAAAGTGAACCTCTGAGGATGAGAGATGAAAACAGCTAAGCTCCTATCAGGAAAGAAGATCAACCAGCTCCTCCAGGAGAACCAACACCACCTTTTCTGCTCGTTTTCTTTTTTATGTTGGCAACAATCATTGGGTGGGCATCCACACTCAGTACCACACTGATTCGTTCAGCTGTTATTACAGGTTGACCACAAGTTATCAATACACTACAATAATCTTCCCTTAATCCCATCTAATCATCTAACATTTTTTAATCTCAGCTTCATTTTTTCATCTTCATTTTTCAGTACTGGT